CATTGCTAATTATCTGCCAGATTCATTTTTATTTGCTCTTCTGGCTGCTAGAGATGAAGAATCAGCCAGCCCAAGCTAGGGAAGGAGGGGTTCAGAGAGAATGACTAAAAAGACAGAAGTAGGGCAGCCTGGGTGGTTCAGGGGTTTAGCGCCACCTTGGGCCCAGGACGTGATCCTGGGGACCCGGGATCCAGTCCCACATCAGGCTCCCTGCGTGGAGCCTGCTTCTCCCTCTGCCTGTCTCTCTGCCTCTCTCTCTGTTTCTCAGGAATAAATAAATAAAACCTTAAAAAAAAAAAAAAGACAGAAGTAATCATAAAAGAAACCATTTACTAAAGGCTGATAATATGCCAGGCCCTATGCTAAATGTACGTAGATTGTTCCATTAACTTCTATGACTTAACATCATTTCTATTTTAAGGATCTGACAACTAGTATTATCCTTCCTATTTTGCAGATGTAGTGCTCGCTTTGGCAGCACATATACTATTTTGCAGATGTGGAAATTGAGGCTCAAGAATACATTTATTGTCATTACTGACAACCCAGGAACTGGTATTTTCCCTGTTTCAGATCAGGAAACCAAGTCTTAAGTGGGAGTAGAACGTGAATCAATTTGTTTAACAACAAAGTTCAGACTCTTAAATATGCACATGAGCTTTAAAAACCGTTCATACCACTACACACCTGCTAGGATGGCTATAATTGAAAGACGTAATAACTGAAAACATGGAGAAACTAGAACCCTCACACAGTGCTGGGGGTAATAAATGTAAAATGGTGCAGCCACTCTGGAAAACAGTCCAGCAGTTTCTCAAAGGTCAAGCACAGAGTTGCCATGTGACCCAGCAAACCTACTGCTAAGCAGACACTCATGAGAAATGACACACCACATATGTCCACACAGAAACAGGTATGTGAATGTTCACAGCGGCCTCATCCAGAATGGCCAAAAAGTGGGATTAACCCAAATGTGCAGGTGCCAACATGGGTAACCTCTGAATGCTAATGCTAAGTGAAAGAAGCCAAACACAAAAGGCAGACATACTGCATGATTCTACGTATGTGAAATGTCCAGAATCGGCAAATCCTCAAGACAGAAAGTAGATCAGCAGTTGTTGAGGCTGGGAGAGTTAGAAGGAATGAGGAACGGATGCTAACGGTTATGGGGTTTCTCTTGGGGGTGATGAAAACATTCTAAAATTGACTGCGGTGATGGTTGCACAACTGTACATACATAAAAACCACTGAACTACATACTTTAAAGGAGTTAACTGTACGGTATGTGAATTATATCTTTATAAAGCTATTTTTTCAGTATTTTACAACTTAAACATTTTGCCTAATTTCTACTACCCTTCATTTCACAATGGGAAAAAATGCTTTGTTTACATTTGAAATCAGGAATATGAACATTTTTCTGCACAAAGCCAAAAATGTTGGCTTTTTAAAAACTTTGAAATAGATTAAACTCTATCTTAACTGAGATGCTTTACAGAATCACACTGCTCTTTATTCAAATTTTAAAATGCCTTATAATGTGCTAGTGAATTAATTTACCAGTGTATTAGCCTATCTTCCCTTTCCACTCTAACTATGAGGTCCTATAGAGTCAGTATTGTGTGCCCTGGTTAGGAAATACAAATGAAGTAATGGGCTTCCCAGGGACAGGTGGAATTTGGGAGAATATCAGACATGCATGACATGCTAAACTTCTAAATGACCATCTCAAATCTCCACTCATCAAGTTTTCAGTAACGCTAAAGGCTTGGGGAAAAGTTTTAAAAGAACCTCTTAAACTAAAGATTTCTTTGGGGTTTGGGAAAGCTTCCCTCGACACATATGTCATAAGGACTTGTTTCTCAAAGTCTGGTCCATGGACCAACAGCAGCATCTCCTGAGAGCTGATTAAAATGTAGACTCTCAGACCTACACCCCGGACCTACTCAACCAGAATCTGCTGTTAAACAAGATCCCCAGGGGATGTGCCTGCACAATAAAATCTAAGAAGCACTGTCATAAGATACTTCCCTACCTTTTTCCATTAAAACAGCTCTTACCTCACACTGGACTGGTATTTCAAAAACTTGACATGCACACACCTCTAGTCCTGGGCCAGCGTGTCCTCAGTTCCATTCCTTGATCTTCTGCTCTACTCCAAATTGCAGAGGGGCTGATCCCTAACAGGCTGGGTTTCCCAAGCAAGAAGGGGATGGGGTTAAGACTCCAGCAGCAGCTGTGCCCCCTGAAAGGCACCAGGGCCCCCCAGACAACCGACAACCCCAGGCAGTTCAGCCTCTTGGCAGGTGGAAGCTGCTCCTGGGGTCTAAAACGCCACCTCCTCCCTGTCCTCCAGCTCAGGGGTGACAGTGGTTTCCTATCTGTTGCCTCATCTCAGGGTTGCTTCACTGGCCACTGTTTGCATCCTCAGTTCTTTTATCATCTGTGCAACCACTCCCCTACATTAAATTCCCTCTGTTTTAAATACTTCAAGTGGTTTCAGCTTTCCCATTTAGAATCAGAATGATACTCCTATCATTTCAGATATTTCTCTTATGCACCACATATACCACAGCAATTTTCTGAATGGCTTATATGCTTTAAAAATGGGGGGGGGAGCTACTGCACACAGAAAACCTCACACTTCCCACATTCAGACAATCTCTAACAACACGAAAGAAAAATTAGCCTTAAGCTATCTGTACAGCAGATGTGACTGTATTCAGCAACTCAAGTCCTCAGGGTGTATTTTTAACACTCTACCCATCACTCCTTCTCAACCAGAACAGCTGGTAGGTACAGCAGCTATTGTTTTTTTGTTTTTTGAGGTGGGGGGAAGCCTCCTAAGGAACAGAATTCTGGACAAATACTGGAATCTCTGAGAGATCTAATCTTTTTTTTTTTAATTTTTATTTATTTATGATAGTCATACACAGAGAGAGAGAGAGGCAGAGACACAGGCAGAGGGAGAAGCAGGCTCCATGCACCGGGAGCCTGACGTGGGATTCGATCCCGGGTCTCCAGGATCGCGCCCCGGGCCAAAGGCAGGCGCCAAACCGCTGCGCCACCCAGGGATCCCCGAGATCTAATCTTAATCACACTTGTAAATCACATGATCCACCCCACACTGGTCACATACCATGCTCCAGGACCAAACAACAGGGGGGAGCAACTCTTATCAGTATCCTTTAGGGCTACTTGGAGATCTTCCTAAAAGCACATCTTGACTGGTCACTCCCATGCTCTGAATAACCCTCAGTGGCTCCCTCTCGCCCAAGGCCAAAAACCCAACTCCACAGCTGGCCCTTTAAAATCCAACCCAATCTACCTTTCCAGCCTCTTCCTAATTCTTCTCCACCTGAGCCACTCACCTTCTGACCATTCCCCAGGGGTGCCTAAACCTTTCGATACAATACGTGTCGATATGCATCAACTATGTGCAAAGCCCGTCCTTCCCCCAATTAGCCTGCCAAGCTCTTTCCCTCCAGATTTGTTTTAAAGGGGATGTCCCCTCCCTGCCTGCCAGGGTAGCTGGATTCTCTGTCCCATGAGCTTCCACAGGACTTACTATGTCTTACTGTCCCATGCACAGGCGTCCATCTCCTACAGACTAGGGTCCAGACTCCTACTGTCCATCTTGGGATCCTGACCACGGTTCAGATCCAGATCCACCTCTACAACCTGTCACGCCCTGAGCAAGTCACTTAACCCCTCTACCTCGATTTCCAATCCCATGTAGATGGGGGCTGATAGAGAACAGCCGACTCAATGGGTTCTCACTAGCACTAAATGAGTTAAGCCGTGTAGACTGCTGCACAGTTAACCCAAGAAAAGTGCCTGGCACACTGCCTGGTAAGCAAAGAAGAACTGCTACCATCACAATTATGACCATACCGTTATGCCTGGAACAAAGGAGGCGTTCGATACCTATCTGCTGAATAACTGGAACGCTTCTCAATTAAACTTGTTTGTAACACGTTCAGACCAAAGATTAGCCCCAGCACAAGCATCCAAGGCTGACAGAAGGCAGAGCAAGAAATGGCTCCCCCAGTGAAAGTACCAGCGGAACCTAACTGGCCCCGGAGGAAAAGCGCAGTGCAGCAGGATGAGCGCCTGTGCCAGCTGGAGCGGCCGGGGCTGCCCACAGACCCAGCGTGCCCTCAGCCACCTGTGCAGCCACCTGCCTGGGGCAGCCGCGTTCTAACAGAGACGGCTCACCTGTGGCGAAAACCATAAGCAGTCTTCAACGGGAACCGCCATGGGAAAACAAAGGGCTCAACTTTCCTCCCGCAGAAAGGAAATGCGTCTTTCTTGCAGCGAATCTTCAGCCGTCGGGAGTTCTCCGGCGAGAGTTCGGTGGCCGGCGGGTGCGCGGCCAGGAGAAGCCCCCCCCGCCCCCCCGCCCCGCGACTCCCGGCTTTCCCCAGGGACCGCGCATCCCTGCCTCTCGGGGCACGGAAACGCGCGCGAGTCCGGGAAGAGCCCCCACGCCCGGGGCCAGCTGGGTGTCCCCGGGGACCGCAGGCGGGTCTGCGGAGCACCCCGCGGGCAAGCACCCGGCCAGCCCTCGGCGGCGCGCGGAGCCCGGGGCTCGGGGAGCGTCCGCCTGCGGGGAGCAGCCGGCACCCCTGTCCCTGGAGCGCTCGCCCCGCGCCTCTAGGCCTGCGTCCCCCCGGTCCTCGCCGCGCAGCCCCCCGCCCCCCCGCCGCGGGCGCCCCCGGCCCGGCGCCCCGCCCCGCCCGCCCGGCCCCGCGCGGCGCCCACCTGCGCCCCCCGCCCGGGTCCCGGCCGCCGCCCCGCCGGGAGGGCGCGCTCCCCCGGGGCGCGGGGCGGGGCGGCCGGCCCGTTACCCCGCGGGGCGCGCTCCGCCCGGCCCCCGGCGCCCGGCGGGACCCCGGGCCGGGCTGGGCCGGGCCTGGGCGGCTCTCGGGCCGGGCCGCGGGCCTCACGGGGCTCCCGCGGCGTGAGGGGCGCGCGCCCGGGCCGCCGCCGCGGCTCACCTTCTGCCGGATCTGGCCCGACGTGGACACCTTGCGGATGAGCTTCTGCGGGGAGCCGGGCTCCGCCTCGGGCTCGCTGTCGGACGACTCCTCGGGCGGCGGCGGCGGAGGAGGCTGCGGCGGACCCGGCGGAGGGGCGCCCGCCGCCGCCGCCATGCTGCCGGGCCAGCGCGCGCACAGCGGGCGGGGGCGGGGCCGGGGGCGGGGCCTGGAGGGGCGGGGCCTGGGCGGGGGCGGGGCCGGGCCGGGGCGCCGCGCCCCCTGCCGGCCGCGCGCGCAGCCGCAGACGGAGCCGCGCTCGGGCCCCTCCGCCTCCACCCCCGGGGGTGGAAGCGGGGGAGGGGGGGGAGGGGGTGGAAGGTCGGGGGGGGGGGTCTTAGCGTCTGTTTATTTTCTTTTTTCTTTTTCTTATTTATTTTTTTGATTTTCTGTCTAGGACACAATTTGTGTGGTTTTTGTTTCTGTGTTCACTTTTTTTTTTTTTTAGTCTTCCAGTTCAAGAATGTTAAGTGATGGGGCAGCCTGGCTGGCTCAGAGGTTTAGCGCCGCCTTCAGCCCAGGGCGTGATCCTGAAGTCCCGGGATCGAGTCCCGCGTCGGGCTCCCTGCGTGGAGCCTGCTTCCCCCTCTGCCTGTGTCTCTGCCTCACTCTCTCTCTCTGTGTCTCTCATGAATGAATAAATACAAAATCTTACAAAAAAAAAAAAAAAAGAAGAATGTTAAGTGATCTCCAGGAGGCTTGGGACCGTGTCCCGTCTGGCCCTGCATTGTGTCACGTCTATAGCAGCGTCTGGTATTTAGTAGTTAGTTGCACCACAAGCAGCTGGGAGTGGATGGCTGCATGCGTGAATGCAAGAAAGAAAGAAGAAAGTACTGGCCTCTGGGGATGCCAGAAGAGGGACAAATGATTCCATCTGAGAAGGTTCCTAGAGAAAAGATCCCTGAGTTAGGAGGAACTGGCTAGCAGGAGTTACCACTGGGGGGGGGGGGGGCGGGGTGAATTGTGTTCTAGGAGGACGGACCAGACTGTGCAAAGGCCCAGAGGCCAGAAAGAACTAGTGGAGCAGGGAGTTGTGGCCTAAAGGGAGGAAAATAATGGGAAGAGCTGTGCCTGGGAGTGGGCAGGTCTGATAGGGCTTTGTAAACCTGATAAAGGGGTTAGTCCTGAGTGCAACAGGAAGCCCTTGAGGGATTTTAACCCTGGGCGGGGCTGAGTCACAAAGCTGAGGCCTGTGATCTAGACTTTGAAGTAATTAGGGCAAGTGGCTGTCCTGGGTCATTGGGAGGGGCTGCAGAGATAGAGAAGTGGACTCAAGATGGGAGGGATTTGTAGGTGGAGGCGGGAGGCACAGGTAACTGGGATGAGGCCCAGGGTGCTGGCCACGACTGTGGGATGGCAGATGGGTAGGTGGGACCCTTCACCAGAGGGCACAAGAGAGTGCACTTGTTTGTTTTGCTGCCATACAGCTGAGAAGGGCACCTCCTTAGAAGGTTGCATGACTTCCCCTTGCCCTTTCCGAAGGCTGCTGCTAGAGACTTAGTGGCCCCTGGCCTGCCTGCCGGTCAGCATGTTTTGGTGCCCCCACCATGCTGGGTGATACTTTCCAAAGGCAAAACAAGTGAACCCTCCCCGAGGGGACACAGAATAGCATCTAGCGCAGGGACATGGCCAGGGGAATGGACTCACCGCCAGGACACAGCGTGTCAGGGCCTAATGCAGGAACACTCTGACAGCCCCAGAGCCCCTGGGGCATTGCCCAGTGCTATAGCCACTAGGCACATGGGGCTTCTTTCATTTTAATTCCAATTAATTAAAAATAAATTTTCAGTTCCTCACACCAGCCACATTTCAGGTGCACAATAGCCATGTGTGGCTTAGCAATTACTACAGGAGACAGGACAGATACAGCACATTTCCATCATCACAGTAAGTTCTGCAATGCGTGAAGGTAGTGACAGCTCTCAAGCCGACCACCTGGCACGCACACCGAACACCTGACCAGTGATTCTAATCCTCACACCAGCCCCACAGAGCAAGCTCACTGGGCTCACTCTGGAGATAAAGACTGCAGCCTGGTTCTGATACGTCTCCCAAGGAGGGGAAAAGAGACAGTTTGGACCGGGACCATGTGACTCCACCGTTCTTGATGCTTCTAGGCTAACTCTCCCAGGAAGCTGGCCCTGGAGTAGCTTGTAGGAAGCAAGAGCAGAGGAGGGCCTGTTATGGGCTGAACTGTACCCCGACCCATACATGCGCCCCCCCTCCCACCCCAACATTCACACGTTGAAGTCCTAACAAACCCTCAGATGTTATTCCTAACATCTTAATGTGACTGTGTTTGAAGGTGGGGCCTTTAGAGAAGTAATCAAGTTAAAAGGAGGCCATGAGGATGGGCCTTCATCCGGTATGACTGGTGTCCTGATAAGAGGTAGGAAATTGGTCACACATAGGCTCAGAGGGAAAACCACGTGAAGATATATACAGAGATGCCAGCTCCAAGCCAAGGAGAGAGACCTCAGCATAAAAGGACTGCCAACCTTGATTCAGACTTCAGGCCTCCAGATCTGTGAGCTACATTTCTGTTGAAACCCACCCCCCACCCCCCACCCCAGTCTGTGGTCCTTTGTTATGACAGCCAGAGCTCACTAATGTGGTGTCCTGCATCCCTGCGGAGGTTGGTCATATTGCATCAATTAATTACAAATGGTGTGATATGTAAGTGCGAGATGTAGGGGAACTAAGTTAATTCTGTCAAGGATGTTGGGAGGCTTTACAGAGGAGGGGTGACTCCAAACCTGGAGATTTGAGTAGAAAGGTAAGAGGATGGAGAAATTTTCCAGGAAAACACAACAAGGCAAGAGGAGGCTCCGGGGCAAGTTTGTTGTTGAGCCAAGGGCGAGGGGAGAAGGCCTGAGCACCTCCTGTGCTGCGCTCAGGAGCAAGGGCTGCACCCCTCTGGCACAGGGGCCACTGAAGGGTGTTTAAGATTTTATTTATTCATGAGAGACACAAAGAGAGAGGCAGAGACATTGGCAGAGGGAGAAGCAGGCTCCCTGCGGGGAACCCAATACAGGACTGGATCCCAGGACCCTGGGATCAGGCTCTGAGCCGAAGGCAGACACTCAAACACTGAACCACCCAGGCGTTGAAGGGTGTTTAAAGCAGAGGAACCCATGTATCTGGGCAGAGAATGATCAGAGGGGGAAAAAAGACTAGAAATGGATGGGGCATTACAAAGTAATTCACCAATCCAGTCAATGCTTGATTTGGGGCAGAACCAAGGCAGTGGTCACGGCAGTTAGAGAGAGGAGATGACCGGTGGGAAACTCAGCAGAGGTGGGAAGAAAAGGGACCAGCTGCTCCTGTTAGGAGATTAAGGAACAGGATAAATCTGGATGCCTCTGGGGAATACGGGTTTCAAGAAGGATGCCGTCCCAGTGGCCACAAGTAGACCTAAAGGAGATGGAGATGAACTTGGTTTTGAACAAACTGAGTTTAAGGTGCTTGAGGGAGCTGTCGACTACACCCAACTGAAGCTCAGGGGACATCCGGGCTCTAGAATCCCTCATTTTAGAGGCAAAAAGCCACAGACATGAACGTGAGTTGAGAGGCAGCAGCTGCGGCTGTAAAGGAGCATATAGCAATTATGAAAAAGAACTATAAATTGTCCCAGCCAAGAGGAGCCCAAGGAGACGTGATGACTAAATGTCATGGGGGATCCTGGAACATAAAAAGGACATTAGGTAAAAACTAAGGAACTCTGAATAAAGAATGGGCTTCAGGGGCACCTGGGTAGCTCAGCAGGTTAAGCGTCTGCCTTCGGCTTAGGTCATGATCCTGGGGTCCTGGGATAGAGCCCCACATTGGGCTCCCTGCTCAGTGGGGAGCCTGCTTCTCCCTCTCCTGCTCCCTCTCCCCCTGCTATCTCTCTCTCAAATAAATAAATCAAATATTTTTAAAGAATAAAGAATGGGAGACAGCTGGGTGGCTCAGCGGTTGAGAATCCGCCTTTGACTCAGGGCCTGATCCCGGATTCCCAGGATTGAGTCCCACTTTGGGCTCGTTGCATGAAGCCTGCTTCTCTTCCCTCTGCCTGTGTCGCTGCCTCTCTTTCGGTGTCTTTCATGAATAAATAAATAAAATCTTTAAAAAAGTAAAGAATGGGCTTTAGTTTAATAATAACATGCCAGTATGGATTCATTATATGCGGTGCATGTGCCATCCTAGTTAGTGTACGACGTTCCTAACAAGAGAAGCCGGGTGTGGGGGAGTTCACTGTCCTAACGGTGCAGCTTTCCTGTAGGTCTCAAAGTACTTGAAAATAAAAAGTGCATTTTTAAAAAGAGCATTAGGCTCATTAAGACTCAATCAGAGCAACACAACTCCAGCACATTTTCTCTGATGAGCGCAGAAGCCTTTGTGTCGTGGTGTGCCCGCCGAGCGCTGTTCCCTTGGCGATCTCCCCCGAAGCCGCTTGCCTGTGAGAGCACATTCCCTCTTTACAGAATGAGTCACGCTGTGAATCATCTCTAACAATGTGCGCCTCCCCGAGTTCACCCCACCTTCAGGGCACATCAAGGTGGCAGTAATAACACACTTCACATCCAACCTAATCCTTCTCCATTTGTCAATGTAAAAGTGCATGCACCTCCTGTCAAAAAACAAAACAAAAAGCCACTTCACATTAGAATGCACGCTGCACTTCACAAAACATGGGAATGATCTTATTTTACCCTGAACCAGGGTTATGATTGACATTTGGAGCAGGACGTTTCTTCACTGCGTTTGACATATGATTTCCCTGGCTCCCATGCATCGTGACAACCCAAGACCACCCCCACACATCTCCAACCAAGCCAAGGGTGGGGGGGACCCATGTGCCGCATCCCCCCAAGGATTAGTGAGGTTAACCCACGGAGACAGTGGTCTTACACTGGGACCTGGGTCGGGAGCTATGGGAAGTGTTACAGGGAGAGGAAAACAGACTCTCTGAAAGGAAGTTAACTAGCAACGCACGTGATAAAACTGTAGTTCACTAAATACACACAAGAGTGCAACTGGAAAAATGGGAAGCAGATGGGTGGACTGTACCAGTGTCAACGTCCCGGTTGTGATAGCATGCCACAGTTTTGCAAGATGTTGTTAGCCTTGGGGAAAATACAGGATCTCCTTACTGTCTCTTACAACTGCATGTGAATCTACAATTCTCTCCTTAATGTTTCGATTTTAAAAAAGAACTTAAGGGCAGCCATTGCTGAATCAGGAGAGCTAACCCTCCCTCTCTGAGCCTCCCAAAGTCTCAGCATCAGACAGCGAGCAGAGGGGCTGAGTAACAGACTCAGGGAAACCAGAGTCCCAAGTCTTGATTCTGACTCTCACCAGCTGTGTGACCTTGGGTAAGGTGCATCACGTCTCTGAAATGTGCTTTCCTCATCTAACAAGTGGGAATGATGGGGCCCCCTTAACAGGCATGGCTGGAATGAGGAGATGCAAAGTGTTTTAGCACAAGGCAGGTGCTCGATAAGTAGCAGGGATTCCAGCTCTCCAGCCCTTTGCTGGCTTACAGAGCTCTGGCCCACGTAACCAGCCACCACTCTCTCCGCGTAGCTCTCTCAATTCCGTTGTGCCCTGTTTCTTCCGATGCACCTACCTGGGAAACCCTGGGCCACACATCAAACCTGCACGTGAACGTCCTGCCTCCTGACAACATGCCAGCGGACACTGGAGCGAGCGCAGGCTCAGCCCAGGCGAGGCTCTGCATCCATCCCATTCGGAGCAGCTGGCTGCTGGCTTCCTGCTCCACCCCCACACCCTCCCCAGGGTGGCCAGCTGCAGGCTATATTCTAGCCAGCACCTGGAAGTCTGTGAGTTGGGCCATTTGGTACCAAAATAACCTACAGGGCGAGGGCCTTTCGGGTCTTTGGTGTGCTGGATTGGCCTTCCAGCTCTAACCCACACAGTGCCAAAGGTCAGGCCCGCTAATATCCACACTGACTTAGGATGTCCTGGGGTCAAGCAATGCAGGAACTGTCGGGCTGGTCCTCTCACCAGGCACTGCCGGGCGGACTCCCGGGTGCCCAGCTTGCCTAGGATCTCCGGCGGGAGCCAACCACGGCTAGCCTGTGAGCTTGGGCGGAAACAGAGGAAGGGCTCAGATCCCCAGAGCAGCAGGCCGCCCCTGATCCTTCCTGAGTATCCTGGGAGGGGGCGTGGGCTGGAGGGTACTGTTCCTTGGAATCGGAGAAAACACGAAGGAGAAATTGTGTCTGACCCTGCAAACCCACAGGCCAAAGGCCCAGTCTTCTGCCTTTTGTATTATTATTATGATGATGATTTTATGATTAATCCATCTCTAGAAATGAATCCTCATCCCTGTCAATATCAGGATACCTAAAACTCAACACCTGAGTCCACACCTTGCTTTGTGTATGTGGGATCCTGTCCAAGGTTCCCAAGTGGAGCCTCCAGACTGGATCCCAGTCCTCAGGACACAAGCCAGCCTGTCCTGCTGAACAACCCCAGATGTGGGAGCCTTTGTGTGCATGGAGCCCATGCTAAGGTCCTGCCCTCTGCCACGGCTCCTGGTCCTGGGGACCTGACCCCACCCATGTGTCCCCTCCCATTCACCCTCCTACCTTCTGTGAGGGCGCTGACCTGTGCAGAACTCTGCAAACCCCTTTGATCCTACTCCCCTGAAGCATAGACCAGAGCCTGCACCTCCCCCAGCCCCTCCCTGGCCCTTGGCAGCAGCCCCCCAGAGTGGTGTGTGCCCTGAGCCAGGAAGGGGACTCAAGGACAGAGCCCTGGCACCTCCACCATCATCCCATCTCCACATCAACTCCACCTCCCTCCCAGACACAGAGCAGCCTTTCCCCTCCCCCAGCCTCCATGAAGACACTCTAACAAGCCCCCTCCTCCAGGACAAAGGGTCCCTAGGGCTGGTGCTGCCATCACTGGCCACAGGGCCTTGATCTACCTGACCAAAGCTGGGTGGGCCAGATTCTCCTGCCCAGGACCTGCACACTGGAACCAGAACCCCAGAGACTGAGGGCACCATTCTGTGACAATATCTGCCTGGAGAGCAGGACCCTGAGGCCCTGGGCAGCCCGGGGAGCTTCTGATTCCCGTGCACCTGATGTGGGTACTCAGATTCTTCCTTTAATCCCGTTCCCTGAACCCCTCCAAGGCCCTCCCAGTGCATTTCCTGTTTCCCCTTAAACTAGCCAAATCTGACTCTGTTGCTTGCTCTCAAGAGAGACTTAACCAACCAACAGGGACTCAAACAGGGACTTGGACCGAACGTCAAATTAGTGATGAAGAGTGTTTTGGCCACACTTGTCCTTTGCCTTGTTTATCTCAGGAGGCTCTTGGGGGGGGGCATGGAGCTTGGCCAGGTAACTTGAAACACTGTTCTCCCCTGCCCCCATATGTTTCCAGGGAAGCAGTTTATCCCCAGGACTCCTGGAGAAAGTACCAGGCTCCGCCGGGTGAGCACACCAAACCTGGGACGTGTTCTCGCCTCAATGAGCCAGCGCTTTCTTTCTAGATCCTTCCCTCCCCCACCTGAGACACAAAGACCCCAGGGCTGCAGCTCCCAGGAGTCAGTGACATCACTCAGCCTCAGCAACAAGCCAGCCGGAATCAGATCACAGCCGAACAAACTTTATTTCTATGAAGAAGACTCACACTTTGGTATTTAGCCTAACTAAAGGGCTAACTGTAGCGTTTGGCTCATCCTGCTTGAACTACTGTTTCCCAGCGTCCAGGTCGACCGACCTCTTCACTCATCCATGGCCTCCCGGTCTTTCTTCCCCTCCTCAGCATCTCCTAAGTCTTTCAGATTTTGGCGAGCAAACTCCTCAAAAACCAAATTTTCATCCTGAAAACTAAAAGAGAACAAGGAACATTTCGATCACGGCACGCTCTTTGAAGCTTGCAGTGAAATCTCAAGCAAAGCAAGATCCTTGGTCTTCCTTTTGCAACAGAGGGACCGATCAGGATTCTCCTACATGATGGAGCACGGACCAAGCTGCTCTCCTCACAGCTGTCCATGTAAAGTCTCTTTAACAAACACAAGGGAGAGAAAATGAAGGAACCCACAGAGCAGACACGCATACCGGCATAACCGAGGGTGCAGGTGTGTGCACGTGCAAGCCGAAGTACTGGGAGCACAGGAAAACCAGAGCCTGGGGCGGTGTTCAGAGCATGCGGTGTGTATAAAAAGACCCCAAAGGGGGTTTGTGTGTGCGGAGGAAGTCATAGGACACAGGGAAGCTCAGGGCAGGGGCTCACCTTTCCTTTGCCATAGCTGTAAGCGTGAAATAAAGAGAAAGAATTATCAGCATAAATTCTTTTTTTTTTCTTTTTAGAGAGTGAAAGAGAATACTCACGTGAGCAGGGGGAGGGGCAGGGGGAAAGGGAGAGAGAGAGAGAGAATCTCAAGCTGACTTCCTGCTGAGCACAGAGCCCAAAGTGGGTCTCCAACTCAGGACCCTGAGATCATGACCTGAGCCGAAATCAGGAGTCAGAGGCTGAACTGACTGAGCCACCCAGGCGCCCCTATCAGCATAAATTCTGCATAATAGCTGCACCTTGAAAATTTCTCCCTTATCTTGGTGACTTTATAGTTGGAGGGAAAAGAAGCCTAGATACATGCATTTCACAACAACCACGTGTCACCCCTGCCCTTTGCCTTTGCCAGCTGCCAGAGCCTCTCTCCCTGCACATCTGAACCATGGCCTCCGTGTCAGAGTGCCTTGCCTTCACCTCCTTAACCAGGAGAAGCCCCACCCTCACCTCTGGGATGCTTTCTTTTTTCAAAGCATTTCTCCCTTCGTGTCCTTTGGACTCCGTGGAGAGAGCACAGTCCTGGTGCTGTTACAACCCACCCTCCGGACCCATCTGACACCTGCACGTCGGCTTGTCCGGCTCACAAAGGGTGAGTTCTGGGACCGGACGTCTAACCAGCCCCACCCGTGGTTGGGGTGTGCGCTGGAGCTTGGGAACCACTCCCGGGCCCCTCAGGGTCTGGTTTCTCTGTGAACACATTGATCACTTTGTGGTTGGGTTATATTTTCAGATGTGTTTTGCAGTCCCTGATTTACTGCTATTCATTTGAACGGTTCTTTGTTGTTCGTGTGCTCGTTTAGTTTTCTGTCTGCCTGGTAAAGTACGGTAACCCTCAGTGGAGAGCCCGCAAGAGCTAGGTGATCGACGCCGGAGGACTTTTCGGGAGCACCACAGTGGAGCCACTGCTCTTGTCTCTCAGGCCCTGGGAGGGAAGTGTCTATGTGAGCTGCTAACCACAGGAGACGGAGGGAGGCCCCTGGGCAGGAACCGTCCTGGACCCCCACGTGCTAGCATAATTATACTAACTGGGACCATCAGCCTGAAAGAGAATCACATCAACACCTGCCTTCCATTGTGGACGCTCTTGCAGGGATAACGAAAACTTGGTAGCATTCCCCTCATCCCTAGTAGGTATAAATTGCTCGGTCCCTGGTCCTGGCAGAGCTTCTGAGCCACAACTTAATGCTTGTTCTGCTTTGTCTTCCTGTGTAGACTCAGAACCGGCAACGAGGCACGTAAGACATAAGCACTCCTGTGGATGGAAGTCCTGCAACTCGAAGCTCTAGAAGTCAGAATTTCGAGGCCACGGGGTGATCTGTCCTTTCTCCCTGAAATCTCACAGTACAAAAGATCGTTGTTTACTCTTGACATGGTGGTATGTTCAATGTAAGGGCCATAATGACTGGAACATGAAAATGTCATCATGCCCAGAAAAGGAAGAGCCCCACTTCCCCTCCAAGTGAAGTTGAAAAGTCTGTTCACAGCTCCAGAAAACAATCTGGCATAAACGATGGCATCCCCTCAGGTCATAGTTTTAAACTATTCTTTTAAAATGTCCTTGAAAGGGACCAGAATGCCTTTCAATCTCACATAGTTTAAAAAAAAAAAAAAGTATCTGAATGGTACCAGCAGATATGAATTTTAAAAAATGTGGCCAGACTACTTTTTCCCCAAAGTACATGGACTATTTGAATCCAAAATGTTTGGAAAAATACTTTGAGACAAACTATTTTCGAGACAAACCCAAAATGAATAGGGGGGATCATTCTAGTGTTTAAAGGTTATTTCATAATCAAGATACAAAAAGCTATAAAGTATAAGAAAAATAAATCTTGCTTATTTATACCACCTTAAAAAAATAATAATAATCTCTATGCCCAATGTGGGGCTGAAATTCAGTCTTGAGATAAGTCACATGCTCTTCCAACTGAACCAGCCAGGTGCCCCATTTTAGCACTTTTACTAGAAATATTCTTTGATACTATAACTATGGAGGGTTCTCATTCACACAAGTACAATTTCCTTTCCTGTCAACAAAGCCACTTTAACATGAACACAATGAATTTTCCCCCAGAATTTCTGGGATTACACTACATTACTTTGCTGCTCCATTTACTTTCTTTAAAAGAGCCATATGGCTGGGTGCCTGGGTGGCTCAGTCAGTGGAGTATATGACTCTTCATTTCAGCTCTGGTCCTGGTCTCTAGGTCATGAGATTAAGCCTCACATGGGGCTCCTCACTCAGCACAGAGTCTGCTTGTCCACCTCCCTCTGCTCTTCCCTCTGCTCTCACTCTCTCTCCCAAATAAATAAAAACGAATCTTTAAAAACACATATTTAAGGGGTGCCTGGGTGGCTCAGTCAGTTAAGCATCTGCCTTCAGCTCAGGTCATGATCCCAGGGTCCTGGAATCAAGCCCTGCATTGAGTTCCCTGCTCAGCGAAAGGTCTGCTTCTCCCTCTCCCTCTGCTCATGCTTTCACATTCTCTCTCAAATAAATAAAATCTTTAAAAAATACATATTTAAAAAAGCCATATCGAGATCTAATTCATATACCACACTACTTACCTACTGACATACACAGTCCAGTGGTTCACTCTTTATTTACAGAGTCATACAACCTTTGCTTCATTTACTTCAGACATCCATACAAGAGCCAATGGATTTGCAATTCAAAGGAGCCAAGGAACCCGACCTGACACTTCTTTTTTTTTTTTATTTTTTTAAAGATTTTATTTATTAATGAGACAGACAGACGGAGAGAGAGAGAGACAGAGAGAGAGGCAGAGACACAGACAGAAGGAGAAGCCGGGAGCCCGACATGGTCGGGATGGATCCAGGTCTCCAGGATCAGGCCCTGGGCTGAAGGCGGCGCTAAACCACTGAGCCACCTGGGCTGCCCACGACCTGACACTTCTTTCTAGTATTTTCTGTACTCTCATCACAATCATCACTGTCAAAAAATACTCATCTTCTGAATGCCTGTTAATGATTCCAAATGAAAGGCAAAAGCCTCAGCCTCTCAAATATATATTTCACTTAAATTCTCTTTAAATTTCAATCCAGTTCAACACCAAGAGCTTCTTCTTCTTTTTTTTTTTTTTTTTTTTTTTTTTAACACCAAGAGCTTCTGCTTCTAAGTCATCCCTGATAAGACTAAACAAGAAAGTCCATGTTCAAGGTTGGGGATGCTCTGTCCCCAACATGCTAAATGAGTGGACAAGCCATGGCTCATGGCAGAGGAGATGAGCATGCCTCTGGGGGCTGGTCCAGGGCAGCATTTGAGGATGACAAGCAATCACCTCGTGGTGTCCAGACCCAGGGCCGTGCTCAGGGACCACTAGCAATGAATAAGAAATCTGCATGGAGGAAATGACTAGAGAAAGCTGAGACAATGCGCGACTGACCTGGGTCCTCGGGCTGGGGGTGCATGAGGCGGAAAGGCACCTCAGTTGCCACTTCACTGGAAAAAAAAATGCACATGGGTGAGAACACATACAAGATTGTATAAAGCACACAGAGAAGGGCTGTGGCTGCAGAGACTCAACGCTGCAAGAGGATTCAGTGAGATTCAAAACAAAACAAACCAGAAATCAGGAAGTGGTCAAGGAGGAATTTTAAATGTATTCCCTGGAATGTGGTCCAGAAACTTCACTTCGGCATGGCGGAGGCAGCTAGGTTTGGTAGATTCCCCTTCTCCTGGTTGTTAGGTCCAGAGACATGCTATTGTGGGTCAAGGAGGGGTGAAATCCTGGAGAGAGGATAGTTTCAGAGAAAAAAAAAAACTTGCAAAAATGTACACGACTTTTTATATGTGAACTCTATATTAACAGTCACATGGTCGCTTGCTAGGGAGCAGAAGAGGAATGAGCAGCACCTGCCAAATTCCAGAAGCGGAAGGGCGTCAGGGTGCCTTGCAATTTCTAGAAAAAGAAGGAAGGGAAGGAGTCGGGAAGGAGAACAGAAGGCAAATCTGGACCAAGGAAGAATGAAAAGAAGTTGTAAAAAAGCAAGGGTCTCTCCTCACTTCACCTAGGACCCACCGCCTCCTACACGGTTACAGCTTTGGTCAGACCCCAGTGCAGGTGGGGCCTGGCTTTCATGTGAGGGAAGGAGATGGTAAGAGGCAGAGTGAAGGAGTATGTGAGGTCAGGGCCTGCCTCAAACACAAATTTGGGCCTGCTGCTTTGGGCATGATTTGAGAAACGTAGCTGTTACCATTCATAGTAGCCCAAACGTCCACCAGTGGATGAATGGAGGACCCAAATGTGGTCACTCTGTGTACCATGGAGTATTCCTCAGCCATAAAAAGGAATGAAAAACTGACACATGCTATAGCACAGATGAACCTGGAAAACATGACACTCAGGGGAAAAAGCTGGTTACCCAAGGACCCATCCTGTGATTCCCTTTATGAAATATCCAGAATAGGCAAATCCGTAGAGATAGAAAGATTAACGGTGGCCAGGGACTAGGAAAAGGGGAGAATGGCAGAGACCACTTAATAGGTATAGGGTTTCCTTTTGGGGTGGTAAAAACACAAAGGAACCAGACAGTGGTGATCATTACACAACATTTTAAATGTCTCCTTGATGCTACTACATTGCACATTTTTAAATGGTTCAGAATGTGAGCTTCATGTTAGACACAGACACAAAGGCCGCTGCCTGGAGCGTGCCAGTTTTCTGAGTGTGCGTGTGTGCGTGTGTCCTCCCCAGGGGAGGCTCAGCTTTGGTCTCGAAGAAACATCCCCAGCCTCACACCTTTGCATGATGCATCCAGAAGGCAGTGGGCATCGTTTCATAACACCTCTGAGCTACTGTTTTGAACCCCAGACTGGTTCCCTGTGATACCTTGGGAATCAAGCAGAGAAGGAAGGTGACAAGGCTTACCTGGAGGTGAGCTCTCCCAGAAAGCTAGGAAACAAAAGCAAACAGTGCTGGTGACTGTCCCAATGGTTACAGGACTCTATTTACCATTATTCAGAGGTGGACATGTCCCAAGCATGCTCTGCACTCACAGCTCACGGGATCTTTGCATCCCATCTCATTCAACTGGACTATTCCTCTCCATTTGTGATTTCATCTCTTTCTCAAGTGGATTAGCTAAAAGGAGGAATCACTTAGGTCTGAGCCCTGATGTTCAAGAATGAAAAATAAAGGTCATTGTGGAATACCTGCTATTCACTTACCTTGACCCCTACCGTCCTAGATCCAAAGGTAATCTACGCACTTTGGAAGACCCTACAACTACAAACACTATGGTAACACAATTTGTAAAATCTACCCGTGCTCTACTTTGTTGTCCCAACCAAAACTGGGGAGCTCTTGATTGTGCGTGGCTCACGGAATATGTGCGTGGACTTGCCTTTGATGGCTCATTGAAGTAAAAGGCCAGAAACGTTGGCAGTGGGATTTGAAAGGAAAATGAGAATTCAAGTTTTTTCCCCCTAGGATGCAAAAAATGAAGATCTACCGAGAATTCGTTAGGCGGCAGCCATTCTTTCCTGAAGTGAGATGTAGCAATAAACTGACTTCCCTTCTTTGTGTATCAACTTACAGTGCATGAGCAAATACACACTCACTTTTCCCAAGTAGTACTAACTTATTTTGTAGTTTGCTCTTTGACTGTTTTTCCCATGTGATGTCATATCAAACAGAACTGATGAGATAAATAGGATCTCGCCAAAACTCTAGTTGGTCATCCATAGAATTTGTAGATCTTTCTTCTTTCTGGCTCCCAGTCATTCAGGAAAGGAAGGGGAGAGGCCAAGACAGAGCCCATGGCATTGGCTCTTGGACACTCACCCTGACACTGTGAGTTTCACCTTGATATGGTAAGACACCAGGATGCCCAGGACAGTCCGGTCTATGCCCTCCTTTATTCTGCTCAAAAAGAAAAGAAAAGCAGAAGAATTCAGAGGAGCAGCAGTGAGCAAAGACTAGATGAACACACCCCTCACCTCCAGACAAGCCTATCATAATGCGGGCATCTTCTTAAGGAACTCGTAAATTCAACCATGCTGTCAAAGTCCTAGAAGTTTCCATAGTCAGGAAGTGGGATTCCTTTCCTGCATTGTAGCTTGGGATTTCCCCCCCTGCAAGTTCAGAAGGCAGAGGGTGCTTCCTGGTTCTTCTTGCTCTGCCTCCACTGATGTTCATCCACCTGCCAGATGGTGGTTCCAGAAATCAACCCCTGCCCCCCCACCTCGCCATCTTCCTCGGCTCCTTCCTCTGCCCCACCTGCCATCCCTGGCCAACCACTGAGTCCTCCATAGGCTTTTCCTGCCTATATTATCTCAGTAACTTACCTCCCACAGGCCTGGCCCCTTCCCTGAGCTCTCGGACACTGCAGCCAGAGAGCTTTCCTAGGGTCAAGCCTCAGCATGGCCTGGCAGGCAATCTGTGAACTGACCTTTGCCTGCCTTTGCCACCTCATGCCCTACTATGCCCCAGCATCTCCCGTGTGCCAGGCTTGCCAAACACAAGCCTGCCCTGGAATGCCTCCCTCCTTGGCTCTGTTAAGACCTCAAGCTGAAGTTGACCTTCCTTTGTGAAGCCTTCCTGGATACCTGCCATCAGCATGAGTCTCCCTCCTTCGTGCTCTGGCCCTGTGTCCCCAGCAACCAGCATCATGTTGAAGTGAATGAACGCGGTGCATGAGGCCATCGCCTGTGCCCCCAAAGAGAGTGCTAACTTTCCCCAATAGAGACTCCATTCCAGGTTCTACTGTTTGACAGGCACCATGCTGGGCATTGTAACACAGATTATTATCTCATTTGTGGTCCGTTGCAAGGACATGAAGTATTTCAGGATGCCCAGTCACAGGAGTTACGGTCTGAAAAAACATCGTGACATGCTAGCTAGAACAATGTGAATGACAACAGACCACATGGCCAAGAAAGCTGAAGGCTTGAGGAAGGCAGACCATGACAGGTCTGAGGAGGGGCTGAGAATGCAGGGCAGGTTGCAGGCCCACAGACTCCAGCCCAGGGACCCCCCCCCCATGGGAGGCTCATTGGACCTTGCCCCCAGGGCTGTGACACCCTCCAAAGACTCCATTGGCTCATCAGTGCCTGGAGCTCTTGTGGAGGGCAAATACCTTTATCTGGAATCATGGAATGTAGACAGTCCGTCAAGAGAGATTGCCACCAAAGGGGACAAAAAGGGGGTTGCAAGTCTGAGACCCCACCCCGTTGCTGGACTGGCTGCCTGACTTAACAGCTGGGGGAGAGGAGGTGCTTCATCCCATGCCTGAGTATGCCCTCTGCCATCTTCCTTGAATGCGAGAGTCTCTCTGCACTCCCCACTCACTCTCTCTCAACCTCTCTCTCTCTCTTTCACACACACACACACACACACACACACACACATGCACACACAGAGATTGGTTAATCCAGGTTCTGCTGTGATGGTCACTTTCCAGAACGCTGGAAGGCAGCCCTGATGCTGGGGGTAAATGAGGGACTCAGGTAAATGAGGAGAGGACTTTGCTCTGTCATTAACTGACCAGGTGACCTTAGTCAAGCCTCTCCTGGCTGAACTTCAATTCCCATATTCATAAAATGAGTATAAATTCACCTTCCTCGCAAAAGGCTTACATGTTTGCAAAATAGTCCACAGATCGTACAACGTTTTTACAAACATACTGTTGATGTCGTGATTGCCATGAACCTGGTCTGGTGTCCCTCAATCACTCTCCAGACCTCCACCAAAGTGCCTTAGAATCGAACATACCAACTTGGCAAATTATCCTCAAAAAATCCTTGGACTCCCTCCCATGATTCTGGCCTTCTGCCAAATGTTTGCTGACCCCCACTACTGTCTCTGAGAAGATGTGCTACTGAGCTATGGGGTCACGGAGGTCAAACAGGAGAGCCTCTTCCGGATGGCATCACCTTGGAGGCGGCTACCGGACCACTGAGGGAGCCCCCGAGCATCACACAGGGGATGGCTGGCAGTGGGCTTTGGGCCTGGGGTATGGCTCTCCCCCAAACACTCAGCACTCACCAACAGACATGCTCTGGAATGGAAGCCTCAAAGGATGGCGAGAAGTGGCAGTGGATAGTTGACCTTGACGCCTCACTCTAGTTTGTGCTGAATCTGCTGGCTAAATTCAGCGAGCGGTTCTTTGAGTTGGGGCCAGCAGATCAGGGTTTAGCTTCATTCATATTTGACACCAGCAGCTATCAGAACCTCTTGTTCTTTACCTTTGCTGGTGGGAATGAATAAATGGTATTTCCATTATTCATGCAGCTACCTGCATTACTTGGTTTATTTTTTTATTCTTATTTTTTAAGTAGGCTCCATGCCTAACCATGGGGCTCGAACCCCTGACCCTGAGATCAAGAGCTGTGTGATCTACTGACTGGGCCAGCTGGGTGCCCCTGCATTACTCAGTTTTTATGCTTAGGGTACCTACACTTGCTAATGATATTTTTAGAAGGTCATGGCTGACATTGCTGGAGTGCTCACTGTGTACCAAGCACCACATTTTACATGGATTGTCATTGCCCATAATCCTTATAACCCTCTCCATGAGAAAAAGCAGCACCCCCACTGTACAGACAGGAAAACTGAGGTTCTCAAACAGCCCAAGTAATTTGCCCAGAGTAGCCCACCTGTAAGCAGTGGAGCAGGGGTTTGGCATGAGGCTGCCCCCAGAGCCCATTCCTGTAACCACCATGTCACATCAGGGGTGGGAGTGTGGGGCCTGCTTAGATCACTGAATCAGCACTCTGTGCCTGGAGTGACAGCCATCATGCTACATGGGAGCCTGGGAGCCTGGGGGGTGGGGGGGTGAGATGAGAAGGGGAGCAGACCAGCACCACCTCTGCACTGAATCTTTGGTGCCCATCTCCTGAGTTACAAGGACTCACATGGTGCTCGAAGCAAGGTTCGTGTCCTCATGCTTAATCTTCCCATCCAGGGCGATGCCCCTTCTTTCACGGTTGTTGGCCAGCAAGGGCACCAGCGTCAGTGTCGTGGTCAGAGTGCTGTTCGGTGGCACTTTTTCTCTATAGGAAGAGGAACAGAGAGGCTGTTTCGCTAACGATTCTTATGGCCATAAAGCCACATCAGTCCCACAAGACCCTATCTGCCATCAAGCATTTTCCAGGGGGAAGATAGTTTAGGTTATCTGTGCACTTGCCTTACAAGAAACATTAGTGACATCTCAAAACAGGCTGGCGGCAACATTAAGACATTCCCTCAAGTCCCTGCTCCTCTGAGTCACTGAATTTCTAGAGTATTCTGTGGGGTTAAATGAGACTGACTAGCATAAAGGTCAGTCTCCTCCTGAGACTTCAGGACCACATGGTGGGCTGCAGGCCATGAGGCCAGTGCCTGCAATAAGCCTAGGCTGGAAGTCGCCTGTCACCCAGAGCTGTTGCCATCAGGAGGATGGGCATGTGCCCAAGGGAGTGGGCTGTTGAGGAGGGTGTGGTGGGGCCCTCTGTGAGCCAGGAGGACTGGACTGGTTTGGTTCAAGCACATGTGCTCTGTCTCTCCTAGCTCTTCCCTGTCACTGGATCACTGGGTCACTGGTCAGGTGGTGGGTGTCTCAGCCTCTGACAGACACAGGGAATCCATGCCAAACCATGGGTCTGCAGATCAGGGATGGAGCTGGGGATACAACAGTGAGGGTTTCTCCAGGACTGGAGCATCCCTGGCTCATGGAATGGCATCTGAGGCTGCAGAGGTGGCTCTGCCATTCACTGGTGTGCTCGTACCACACCTGTGCCCAGAAGCATCCATGCAGCCAGCCGACAACCCGTGTTACCCTCCTGACACATCCTCCCTCCTGGTGCCCAGCCAGGAGAAGGCAGGGAGCGGCCCTGAAAACACCACCCAGGAGTCAGCCCCAGGGCTCAAGGACAATGACTCAGGCTCTGCAGCCTTCTGAGTGGCTTCTGGTCTGAGACCTGTGAGCACGATCTAGCTCAGCTTTCAGGCTCCCTTGTGGGGACCCTACAACAGTCGCCAGTTTCCTGGGAATCATTTGGTCCAAAATGCACTGAATTGCTGAAAAGAAGGCCAGTTAATGGGCTTTAAGAGGGAAAAACTCAGCCAGGGAGCAATTTTCTCCTTTCATCATTGAGCCTACACCAAAAAGCGAGCCAAGGAGACCCCAGGACCTGAGGACGTGTGAGGATGCACCTGCAGGGGAGAACAGACCCGGGCCAGCACCAAGGGAGCAGCCAGTGAGCTGCGGCTCTTTCCTGCCTCCCTCCCCTCTGGACCTATATTTAAACTTGGGTCCAGCTCTGCATTGAGTAAGTTTATTCCAAATTTGTCTTTTAAGGTTTACGTCATGTTCTCCTGCTGAATCAGTTTGTCTTTCATCACCAGTCCCCTTCCTGTTGCTCTGGTAATATTTTTTGTATACAACAGTGCTGCGACACATCCGTGAGACAAAGAGAAAAGGACCTGCCCAAGTGACCCTCTCTGGAGGACGCGTCACCCCAGTAACCTGTGTGTGAATGAATAGCGTGGAGCAAGACTCAGCAGGTGTCTGGCTCCAGCACGAAGACACCATCACAGGATACTCATCTGCTTTTGATTCTAATGAAGGGAGAGAAATGATTCATGATGCCAGGCTCAGAATTGACATATCATTGGAATCTGGCTGTCGTTGGTATTACATTTGCAAATTGAGTTGCAGATCAAAAGACAGAGAACACTCGCCTGGACTGACAGATCATTTGCTTGTCTGCTCTGGGGGCAGAAATAGTATCAAATTCCTACCGACTTATTCCAAGGAGCAACAGAAAGTTCCAGCTGTTCCCACTGTGCCATTTCAATCTTTGTTTCTCTCCTTTCCATCATTCCCTGTGAGTGAGAGCTCTCAGAACTCTTGTGAGTGAGAACACAACTGAGATGCTAACTTTCTTTGCAGCCCTTGAAGTGAGAAAAGGGGAAGGAAGCCAAGCATCCTACTTCCCCCTTCAGGGTGAACGAAAGGGGAACTTGACAAGGAAGCCTGAGCCACCCAGGAAATACAAACCCAACCAGCTACTCACTGTGTTTCCTCCTGGGCCACCGGCTTGGTATAATAATCACTCGAGTAGAGAACCACGTTGGCCACTTGTTCCACTGCAGAGGGAAGACAGGGGTGAGTGATCCAATGTGGGGTCCTCCACGCATGTGTATGTTGCCTGCCAGGGACATGGTTGGTCTTCCCTGTCTAATGGCTGTTGGAGTGTACTTCTCAGGCTTGGCTTTAAGGCCGGGGTTTCTGAGTCCTGTCCTCAGGCCACTCCTGTTCACCAATAACCTGCTCTGGGCAGCTCACACCTGTGAGCCAGCCTCCCTAAAACTGCACCACCTAGGAGACTCCTCTCTGCTGAGTCCACACCATACCTACCCTTGCATATCCTTCCAAGTGTACTTGAACTCACCATTTGTGCTTTCTCCAAACCTGCCCCCTTATACCACTATATTATTTTATGAGCACCTCCTTCCAATTATCCAAGCTAGAAACCACCTGCTGGCAGCATAGACCTGACTCGTGCATGTGGATAGGAAGGTAGACTCCCTTGGGACACCTGGGTGGCTCAGTGGTTGAGTGTCCACCTTCTGTCGAGGGCATGATCCTGGAGTTCTGGGATCGAGCCTCACATCGGGCTCCCTGTATGGAGTCGGCTTTTCTCTCTGCCTGTGTTTCTCCTTCTCTCTCTCTCTGTCTCTAATGAATGAATGAATGAATGAATGAATAAATAAATAAATAAATAAATAAATAAATAAATCTTAAAAAAAAAAAAGGTGGACTCCCTGGGCTCAAATACCAGCTTAGCTGCCAGCTGTGGGGTGAATCACACAGCTCTTCTATGCCTCAATTTCCCCATTAGCAAAATGAATGACAATTCAGCTAACTTAATGGTTGTTGTGATGATCAAAAAACTAATTTTTTAAAAGATTTTATTTATTTATTCATGCGAGACATACACAGAGAGAGGCAGACACATAGGCAGAGGGAGAAGCAGGCTCCATGCAGGGAGCCCGATGTGGGACTCAATCTCCGGTCTCCAGGATCACACCCTGAGCCAAAGGCAGCCGCCAAACCACTGAGCCACCCAGGTGTCCCAAAAAACTAATTTTTAATCTCTCTTAAAATCAAATTTGAAGGTTAAAAGAAACAGCTTATGTGAAGCGCTCAGCACAGTGCTCAGCCTATAAAAAGCTACTAACATCTTGCTTCTGAAAGTTTGACAAATTCTTTCACATTTTAATGGCTTTGATGTGAGAACTCATAAAACTTTGAGAAATAATTTAAAAATCAAAGTATCAAATGATACTTCCTCAATCCTGTTACTTTGTGGAACACTGTATTGGACACTACATTTAACATGCTAAATAATACCAGGTCCTACAAAGATAGAAAGCAGATGAACTACACCAACCTAAAACAAAGCTATAAGCATTCATATCAGCATCAGGGAAACCCTCTAATAATTCTTAGGTATGCATGCATCAAAACTCCTGAACCTTATCTATGATGCACACACACCAGGAAGAGGAAAGTGGTGTGTGAAACAAGTGACCAACCATCTTGATTTGCCTGGAACTAGCCCATTTTAGCACTGAAAATCCTGGTCAAGGGTCACCTGGCTGGCTCAGTCAGAAGAGCATACAACTCTTGATCTCAGGGATCATGAGTTCAAGTTCCACATTGGACGTAGAGATTACTTAAAACAAACAAACAAAAACTTAAAAAAAAAAAAAAAAAGGAAAAGGAAAAAGAAAATCCTGGTCCAACCAGGATAGTTGGTCACCATCACAAACTATGAGTCTGACTTTGTCTTAGTCATTGAGTGAGTTAGTGGTGAACGTAGAGGTCACCCTCCCTGGTCGTGTCTTTTTCATGTAGCCCCTATAAGACCACGACATCTGACCATCCCCTGTACCTCGATGCCCTCTGAGCTGAAGAAATGGAAATATGTGTAGAACAGCAGGCAGGACATGCGTCGAGTGTAGTATCAGGCAAGGCTTGGCCATCACACCGTACTAACGCAACAGCACCAGAGACCGGAGGGCTTTATCATTTATAAAAGCACTCTAATCCCTGGAGCTTCACAAAAATCCAGGAAGGTAGACCAGGAACCAGTGCTGTGGATGTCAACTGGGATTCACACAGCATGAGCCCACAATTAGGCCCACTGTGCTCATTCTAGCGCTTTTCCCACTACACTGTGCTGCCTCTGTCAACAAAAATTAATTCTGGTCCAAGAATGAAAACTCCTCATGTGGCTCCCCCCGGGATCTGGCAAGGGGCTCCTCCAGGAAGGCACGGCATGGAATAATGGAGGATCGCCTGTCAGAGATGTCGTTTCAAGACAACAGACAGCCCCTAAGCTGGCCAGGAGGTTGCATGAGGTGACACTTGAAACTCTTTCCTCCTGTAAGTTCCTTCTCTCCATGACAACACAGATAAACAGGCAGTTCCAAAGACCCAGGAGGGCCTTATCTGCCCAGAGGAGAGACCCTGGGGAAATACCACCAGACTGAGAAATTCTAGAAGACTCTGCCTTCCTCTTTTGAGAAGTTCCTACCTAATGCTTTAATCTTCTTCACTGTCTTCTCTGTGTTATTGGTCACAGTCACAGTCACAGTAATGGGCTCCCCGTGGAAATAGATCTGAAAAAGTTAGCAGGGAAGTCAGAAAAGAGGAACAGAGTGTGATGGTATCTTTAACCTCAGGGCTTTCTAGGTTTACCCTCACCCTCCAAGTGTGGCTGAATTCCCACACCTCAAAGGAAGATAAAGCGATAGCACCAGGTTTCCTTTAGCGAGGGGTCCAGAACATGGTCCACCTCCTCTGTGGCATGCTGAGGAGGACAGCGGTGACGAGCGCAGAGGGGAGCAAGAGTGCTCCCACCTGGAACACCCAGTCCTGACAGTCATGACAGAGGTAGCCATGGGGGTCCTGGGTGGAACCACAAGGCCGTGTGGGGCAGAGTGAGTGCAGTGAGGGGGAATGAGTGGGGAGTTCTGCCCCAGGAGGGCATGTGACCTAGGCCTAGGTGGGCACAGGTCACGCATGTGTGCACACACAGGCATGCATACACACACGGTCGGTATGTTGAGACTTTGCCAACATGTGTGCACAACTCTCGGTGACCAGAGGGACCCAAGACAGCCTCCGCCAGTGGTTCTTCATATGAAGAAATGACATACAAAGAAATGACATCCACAGGTGACTCAGCCACCCCTTCACCATTACACTGAAACTGACATTTTCTAGGGAAGTAAAAAATTTGCAAGACCACACCCATCGGTGCTAGTACATGAGACTCAAGGGGCCCTGTGAGGCGGGGGGGGGGGGGGGGACAAACACCGCCTGCGTCAGAGGTACGAGGAAACCACCACGCTCCTCCCTAGTTGCTCAGGACTGGCAGTGCAGTGACCTAGTCTGAGGGTCATCTTTACTCAGTCCAAGTTATGAGAAAAGCCAATTGTTCACAAGTGTTGGTGCTTTAACTATGCCCCGACACAGCATGGCTTGCAGCACCCACAGCAGATTGCCCCGGGCCTGCTCACAATAGGGACACAGCACCAGCCAGCGGCTCACCTCTTTGCTGAGGGAGACAGCCAGGTGCAAGGGCTTGTCGGACATGAAGAACTGCCAGGCGGCCTCAGCTCGGGGCTGGGGACCCATCTTCGATGGCGCATGCTGTATTTTCCGGATCAGTAAATGCACGGAGCTCCTGCAGATGAAAAGTGCAGACAGTTCTGGGGTTACTGCCAGGCCTCCTCGGGGGGCTTCTAGATCTCTCTCCCCGTACTCACGCTGTGATGTTTCAGGAATGCTCCCAAGGGATAATGGGTGAGCCAGAAGAGGAAGGAACCCATGTTGGGGTGGGAGAGGGCCCCAAGGACCTGTTTTCTGGTCCTTTCTCTGAGGTTTCACCAGCTGGGTGGCATGGGGCTGGTGGGCCTGCTCCGGGTCACTCTCGGCTTCAGCTCTCAGGGCACAGCCCGTGGTGGGGGTAGGGGGCTGAGTGCCCTAGGTGACATGCCTCCAGGCTCTCCGTCACTGTGACTTACTACAACAGCAAGCCTCCACGGGTGTGTGTGTGTTGAATGTGAGGAAAAAGTGTGGAGGGCACGATCGAGGGCCTTGTTCAGGTACAAGAAGACAACTGAACAGCGGGGCCTGGGAGGGCAGAAGGGCCAGGAGTCACTGCCTGCTGGGGAGAGAGCCTCTGTCCAGGGTGATGAAACATGCTGGGTATAGACAATGTGGGGTGCAGAGAGTGGCTATGCTGTAACTACGGCTGTGCAACACAGTGCATGTACTAATGCCTCCGAAGTTCACACTCAGAAATGGTTAAAATGGTAAACCTCATGTTGTGTGTATTTTATCACAGCAGAGGAGTTACTGAAGAAGAAGCAAACGAGAGGGAGAGAATCCGGGGGCTGCTAGAGGCTTATGTGAACCTTGAGCTTGCTAGCATCTCTGCCATTTTGCCTCCCCCAAATGGTGAGCCACTGCCCCTGCCCGTGTGTAGACATCCTTCCGTCCTGGCTGCCTGGGCGGGGCAGGCCCCATCCCCCTGGCCTCGCAGGCCACAGAGCGGAAGTGAGGGGCAGCCTCCCACCCCAGCTCCTGACCCCCTACTCCCACCCCGGGGGCCACGCCTTTTCCTGCAGCTGTACTCTTACTTCTTGGGCACTTTGTCCTCTTCATCCTCTGTGCTGTCTCTGGCGAATGCCTTGACCTCGAAGTCGACCCCACAGCACTGCAGTGGAGCAAGAGAAGAGACAAGGCTCAGTCAGCACCTCCCTTCCCGGGAGCTGGAATGGGGTCACACCTCCCATGTTACGTGGCACCTTGTCTTTTTGTCTTAGCCTCGTCCTTTTTAGGGCCACCCCATTAAGGCTAGGCTTGCTGAGTGAGGAAAGAATGACATCCGGACAACAAGTGCACTGTGGCCCCAAGCTCCCAGGGAGATCATGTATAGTGTCTAGCTCTGCCTCCATTTAGTTGTCCCTCTAGATGTGACCCCACCTGTATGTATCTCTGACGTTGCACTGCCTACAGCAGGGGATAGACGCAGGTGCTCACTGGGCTAGCAAGGGGTCCACGACCGAACACACTGGCTGCCAGTGCCGGGTCCTGGGGTGGCCAGGCTGAAATGGGGTCCCCTGCACTGGCGGCAATTCCAACTTTTTTAAAGAAGCTGGAAGTGGGGGGTACCTGGGTGGCTCAGTTGGTTAAGTGTCTCCCTTCAGCTCAGGTCATGATCTCAGGGTCCTGGGATCAAAAATAACACTGTTCCTTCTGCCTGAGGGCTTCATGCTTCTCTGTCTCCCTCTATTTTGTATTTGACAAACTCCTTCGTGTCCTCTCCACCCCAGCTCCGCCCCAGCTCAGGGTCACTCAGCTTGTAAAGGCCTGAGGCCTCCGGGCTTCTGGCCAGTCCCCTCCTAGGCCCCTGAGGGCCCAGTTCAGGCCCCCTTTCCTGCAGCTACTCCTCTCTTGGGACGGAGGAAAGAGAGCACCCGGGCTGGTCCAGCATCCCCCACTCTGATTCAGTGGCCTTGTCCTCCTCTGGCTCGGCCACCCTCAGCTCACCTGCATTTTCCTGGACCAGGCCACCAACCACAGGAAGGAGCCAGGTTTATCATGTGGCCCCGTAAGCAGACACATGTGTGTGCAACAGCTCTCGTGAAGCAACACTGAGTCTTGCTATGGGCAACACATTCTGAGATTTCCCATCTTATTCTATCTCATTCTATGCCATGTTTCTCCGATGCCACTCCTTTTTTTTTAATTTTTTTTTTATTTATTTATGATAGTCACACAGAGAGAGAGAGAGAGAGGCAGAGACACAGGCAGAGGGAGAAGCAGGCTCCATGCACCGGGAGCCCGACGCGGGATTCGATCCCGGGTCTCCAGGATCGCGCCCTGGGCCAAAGGCAGGCCAAACCGCTGCGCCACCCAGGGATCCCTCCGATGACACTCCTGATCCACCACACTGACTTCACAAACCACCAACGGGGCAAGACCCCCACACTGGAAGTCACTGCCCAGACCATGGCCTCTGGCCTACACCCCTTGGTACTTCTGAAGCAGCCCCGCCACTCTCTGCCCTCCCCTTTAGGGGGCCTGTGATCAATCCTGGGTCCTGGTACCTTTACCCTCTCCCCCTGTTCCTCACTGCCCTCCTTCATGGCTTAGAGTCCCCTGCCCACCATGGTCACTCCTCCTTGTGCACACTCAGCCCCTTTGCTTCTCCCCTGCCTTGGGAGCTCATGCTTGGCCCACCCAACCCTTCTCAGTGCAGTGGTCAGGGTGCCCCTGGGAAGCCTAGGTCAGCACCTATCGTTCAGAGCCCTGCAGGCTCCCATCTCACTGAAAGTCTACACAGCCTTCACCTCCCCACGCCTCTGACCCACTCTTGCCATTTCCCTCTGCTCCTCCAGCCCCGGCACACCATGTGCCATGTCCCCTCTGCCTGGGGGGCTCTCCCTTGGGATAGTGTGGCTCCTCCTTAACCCTCCTGGGGAGGCCTTCTTTAAACCTCCTGAACAACCACCCCACCAGACTCTCCCTTTGCCTCTTGCTAGCCTCGTGTTCTCCAGAGTGCCTGCCATCCTTGGATGGGCCCCCTAGACACTTGTTATTTGGTTTTTGCCTGATTTCTGTGGGACCCACCAAGGGTAGGCCTACTACTCTGTCCATGGGCTCCGTCCTGGCTAACAGCTGCTGAAGACAAGTGATGGGTTCATTATAATGTCTCTCTACTTTTGTGCACATTTGAAATTTTCCCCAGAGAAAAGGCTATTTTGAAAAGTCATTTGAAGGCATGAATTAGTCCCTGGCCTTTCTTTTTGCACTAACCTTCCCCATGTCTTGCGGAGCTGGCTGCAGCATCACCGAGCAGGGTAAGTAATCAGGGAACTGTGGGAAGAAACAAGTCATTTCTTTCAGAGGCACTATTCCACATGCAATATACACTCAGTGTGTAAAACTTGGAAAAGGAAGATGAGAAGCGAGCGAGCAAGCAAAACAAAACAAAATGAAACAACAAAAAAACCTACCACATTCACCCATGTTGCGAACATCCAGAATAACATGATGAACATGGACTTCCAAGTGTCCTAGGGGCTTTCTCACAAGTGAATATGTATGTAGATGTGTTTTACAGAAATGAGACCCAACGATGCACATGTCCTGTCGTCTGCTTGGCTCACATTACCGCCCCAACCCTACTCAGAATGCATCAGAACCATTTTTCTACACCATGAGTTCTCCATCACTGTTCTTTGGCCTTCATTAACCCCACATATAATTTAGCCAGTGCCCTGTGTTGGCTGACCTTTCATTAAATGGTACTTTGCTTTTTTTGCCATGATCAACAATGCTGCAATTGACCTTCTTCATCCACCTTAGTGCAGTTTTATCCAAACAAGTCCACAGGCTATGCTTCTGGAAAAGGAACTGTAGATCAAAACCACATTCTTAAGGTTTTTGATACGTCCTGGCATGTTAGCTCTAAAAGGGTTATATCACTTCAAACTCTCAATGCCAAGTCATGAGAACACGCAGGACCATGAAATGGTTTTTTTTGTGTGTGTGTGATTAAAAAAAAAGTTTACAATTTTTTTAATCACTAAAAAAAAATGTAATAAAGTATGCATCACAAAAACTGACATTTCAGCATACAATTTAGTGACCTGAAGGACGTTCACATAGTTCTGCAATGATCCCCACCACGCGTCCCACACTGAAGCTCTGTCCCCAGTCAACACTGACTCTCCGACCACTGCTCTACACTCTGTGTCTACGAGCCTGGTGGCTCTGGGTCCCCACATAAGTGGAATCACACACTCTGTCCTTTCGTGTCTGCTCCTGTGACTCAGTCTAGTGTTCTCAGGGTTCATTTGTGTTGCTGAGTAGATGGCAAAATTTCCTTCTCTTAAGGCTGAACCATGTAACTTTGGAGAAATATATCATCTTAAGACATACAGCCACACTGGTAACAAGGATTGGTAGCAGCATTCCCCAGCCTGAGTTCGTGCCCAAGTCTTTGGGAGGCACAGAGGCTGGCACCGTGGGTGGCCAGGATCCCCCCAGCAGGAGAGGGCCTCCGGGGAGAGATGCAGCCGTTTATGACCCACGGCCCTGCCGTCGTCGAGGCTACAGACGACTTCTGACTGCGGCACGATCTCCTGTCCTGCAGGGAGCTCTTTCATGGGCCGAGCTCCTCCGGGCCAACCGAGGGGCACTTCTTTCTTTTTATAGATGAGCGAGTGAAGGAATAACATGCCCGTATAATTAGGTGGTCGGATGAAGGGAAATATTTAAACCGTATGTTGAAGTGGTGCCTTCAAAGGCTGAGAGGCTATTTTCAAGGACTTAAAAAAAGACAATCACAGCCCGTGCAATGTAGAATTTCCTCCAAGGATGCAATTTGAAGGCCCACAAATGTGAAGTCATTGCTCTGTCCCCTCTCCTTCGCTCCTGGTCACACTGCAAGGTGCTGAGGGTGAAGGAACCAGGGCAGGGACATGGGGGGAGTCACCCACCGTGAGCAGGAAGGGGTATGTGTTGCCCCCCAGCTTCTTCATCAGGCTCTCCTGCAGCTTCGTGGGGGCGCCTGCAGCCTCTACGCGTGGGAACACCTGGACCTGAGAGAAGTATAGGTCCCTGCGAAAGCTCAGGCCAATCACGTCGATGTCTTCCTGGCCGTAGCGGAAGGCGCAGGTCAGAGAGACATACACTGGAGGGGTGACAAGAAGGGGGCAGGTTTGTCCCATTGGCATGGCACCCCCGTCTGGCCAAGTGAACATGGGGTAACCGCTGACACTGCTCCCCCTGCTCCGCCGCCCCCCCCCCCATTCCACCCATCAGCGTCCGAAGGGGATGGGGTTTGAGAACCACAACACCAAAAAAAAAAAAAAAAGAGAGAGAGAGAACCACAGCACCTAGGCAGCCCACACCCTTCTGGAGATCCAGCACCTTCCCCAGGGCTTGTGTTAATCACTCTAAATGGGTATGTGAGTCAGAGGGGACAAGACAGTCACATGAACCACGTATTTTGCCCACAGACTCTCCTGTGTCCTCCATCCTACCACCCCCTTCTCTCCACCCACCTGCTCAGGGACCTCAGGAGGCTTTTAACAGAGAATGAAGGTGATAAACAGAGGGACACGGTGCTGGGGAGCAAGACGGACCTGCACCAGACAGGGGTCTGCCAGAGGAGCTGGACAGGGGCTCATGGACCAGGAGGGGAGATGAAACCAAACCCCAGAAACGCTTCCTTCACATTGCTCAGAAACTTATCAGGCATTCTCTGAAACTCTGAAAACTCGATTTGATTAAACAGACACAATCTGTGCCTCTAGTGGACCAAAAGGATTGCATGAAACTATATATTTTGAGGGCAGACAATTTACAACAGTCTTTTATGGGGTAAATAAAAGCACATAAAGTGCATTATCCTTGAACAGAAAGCATCTCAGAAGTCATCTAAGACGTCCTTAGAAGTCATTGGTGGTGGATCTTGTCTGTGTCTTCACCACGAAGCTCAGAAGAGCCACTGACCAATTGCCTGTCCCTCACCCAATGTTTGTTAAGAGGATGGTGCCCAGAGATGACCTGGCCTTATGCCTCCCTCGCTGGCCAGTGCTTTCCCTCAGAGCAGGTGCCCTCCTCCAGCCAAGGGCGTAGGCTTTCAGGGATCAAACCAGGTGCCTCCGAGTGCCACAGAGACAGGGACACCCAGGAGAAGGTCAGAGACAACAGAAGAGGTGGTTTTCAGCCCCATTTCTGCCATGCCCCCTCAGTGCTGAGGGCCCACATCTGATGTGCTCCCAAGGACACATCCAGGGGTGAAAAAAACTCCTTGTCGTTGCCAGTAGCAACCACTCCGAAAGGCATCCTTGGAATGGAACTGAGTCAGTGACATCTTCATAAGGATAACTCGGGTCTGCCCTAATGTAGTTTACACGACTGTTATTAGCACCAAACTACTCGCCAGATATCACAGCTGCCAGAGATCTTCAAGGATGCTCTGATGCTGTGGTTCAGAACCACCACGGTCAGGATTTAAAAAAAAAAAAAGTGAGACTTCCAGCACGATTGATTGCCCCATTTTGGGATAAATACACCAAGGAGCCCTCCTGAGTTCTTCCGCTGGTGTGGAACTACATGACACAGGGCAAGCGCACACCTGATAGAGCCCACAGACCTGCACTCCACCCTGGACAAGTAAGTGGCTCCCTTGGGTCTTTACCTTAATCTGAGAAATGGGGACAATGAGCTCTGATGTGAACAGGACAATGTCCCAAAGATTATACAAGGGAATGTGGGGGACAGGGCCTGGTAGGGGTGGGTGTGCAAGAGAGCACCAGCTGTTTCCCAGAAACCACTAAGACCAGACCAGACCAGGTCCTTGGAAGACAAGAAGCCTGCCTTACCTTTCTTTCCCTTCACAAGCTCGGGATCCACCAACACGATACCATCTAAACCAAAATGGAGAGAACGATGAGGTGGGGAAGACGAAAGAGGCCACAGGCCTTCTTCATATATTTATCTGCAGTTTTTTGTTTTGTTTTTAAGGAGGCTCCATGCCCAGCATGCCTGAAACGGGACTTGAACTCATGACCCTGAGATCAGGACCTGAGCTGAGATCCAGAGTCAGATGCTTAACCAATTGAGCCACCCCAGCACCCCTTCCTGTAGTTTATTATTTTTATTTTTTAATTTAATTTTATTTTTTTTAATATTTTTTTAAATTTTTTTATTTATTTATGATAGTCACAGAGAGAGAGAGAGAGGCAGAGACACAGGCAGAGGGAGAAGCAGGCTCCATGCACCAGGAGCCCGATGTGGGACTTGATCCCGGGTCTCGAGGATCGCGCCCTGGGCCAAAGGCAGGCGCCAAACCGCGGTGCCACCCAGGGATCCCCCTTCCTGTAGTTTATAATTACACAAGTAATCCATGTTCATTATAGGAAAATTAGAAAGGGAAGTTAAGCAAAGAGAAGACAAAGTCACTGAAATACCCACCACTCAGAGATACCCAGTGTCAAGACACTGGCACAGAATTTTTTTTCTAGATGCATATATATTTATATGGATGTTTTTACTAAAAAAAATGAGATCCCACAATACATATTATTCAGTTAATGGCTTTTCTCACACAACTATATATTCCAAGTGTCTATTTTTATACACACACACCCCCCCACACACACACATAATATGTACTCATCATTTTAATGGCCACACATGGCATCATTGAATGGATGTACCATGAATTATTTAATCAACTCCCTTTAGTCAGGACATTTAAGTTACTTCCAATTTCCCCCATTATCATGAATATTGTGATGAACATCCTTACAGATACATCTTTGTGTCCCTCAAATGTAGAACAGGATTTGGGTTTTGATGACATTTGAGGACATACTGCCAAATGACCTTCCAGAAACTGTTCTGCTGAGGGACATTCTCATCATCAAGTGCCTAGAAATGCCAGGTTTTTTTTTTTTTACACTCTTTTTTAAAATAGCTATCTTAGTTGAAATTATTATAGATTCACAGGAAGTTGCAAAGATAGTACAGAGAAGTCCCTGTGTGTCTTTCATTCAGTTTCTTACAGTGGTTACATCTTAGATAACTGTAGTATAGTATCCAAACCCGGAGGCGGACATGGTACAGTGTGTGTACAATCCTAAGCCACTTTATCTCCTGTGGAGCTTGACGGTTTCCTCACTGAAGAGTCATCTCTCAAGTCATCCCCTCCCCTCAGCTCCATCCTTAGCTCCCTGAGCAGCTACTGGTCAGTTTACCATTTCTTATCAACCTTAGACTGTTGTATAAGTGAAATCATACAGTATATGGCCTTTTGAAACCGGCTCTTTCCACTCAGCATCATGCCCTTGAGAGACACATGCCATTGTGTGTATCAGTGACGTGTTCTTTTTTATTGCTGAGTAGAATTTCATGGATGGATGTGCCACACAGTGTATTTAAACTGATCCACTGGGACAGCCTGGATGGCTCAGCGGTTTAGTGCCGCCTTAAGTCCAGGGAGTGATCCTGGAGACCCAGAATCAAGTCCCAATCGGGCTCCTTGTGTGGAGCCTGCTTCTCCCTCTGCCTCTGTCTCTGCCTCTCCCTCCCTCTCTCTGTGTCTCTCATGAATAAATAAATAAATAAAAATCTTAAAAATAAATAAATAAACTGATCCACCTATTGAGAGACATTTGGGTTCTTTCTAATGTAGAGCTGTCACAAATAAAGCTGCCATAAACAATCACGTACCCATTTTTGTGTGGATTGAGTCTTCATTTCTCTGGGATGAATGCTGGGAATGCAATTGCTGGGTCATATGGTTAAGAGTATGTTTAAATTTTAAAGAAACTATTTTCCAGAGTAGGTGTTCCATTTTACATTCCCACCAGCAATGTATGAGTGATCCAGTTTCTCAACACCCTCACCACCTTTTGGTATTGTCATCATTTTTAATTTTAGCCATTCTGGCAGGTGTATAATGATATTTCAATCCATTGTGGTTTAATCTGCATTCCCCTAATGGCTAATGATACCATTTTTCCGTGGCCTTCTTTAACATCCATATATCTTCTTTCAATTGCTTTTATTTTTGTTTTTATTTTTTAAATTTTATTTATTTATCCATGAGAGACACACAGAGAGAGGCAGAGACACAGGCAGAGGGAGAAGCAGGTTCCCTATAGGGAGCCTGATGAGGGACTTGATACCAGGACCCCGGGATCATGCCCTAAGCCAAAGGTAGACACTAAACTACTGAGCCACCCAGGTGCCCCTAATGAACTGCTTTTGATATTTTTTGTGCGTTTTCTAATTGGATTTTGTCTTAATTACTGCGGAATTTCTTTATATATTCTAGAAACGAGTCCTTTGTCTCCCCCATGCTCTGAAATTGTTTCCAATCAGCCAGTGGCTGCCTCACTGATGTTTTAATTTGCATTTTTGATTAGACTTTCAGCAAAGCTGATTTGAAAAAAATAACAAAGTAGCAGCTGTCTGATGACCTTAAGGAAAACCAGCATTAAAATGAAAATCTTACTCCAAATTCAACTTACCCACAGGCTCTACTTGTTCAACATGGTCTATATAGTCTCTCTTCCCCAGGTAGATGGTCACCTATAGGAAGAACAGATGTAGATGCTAAGTGGCCAAAGAACACTAGAATATTCACGTTAGAAGTCAGTGTTAGGGGATCCCTGGGTGGCGCAGCGGTTTAGCGCCTGTCTTTGGCCCAGGGAGAGATTCTGGAGACCCGGGATCGAATCCCACGTCGGGCTCCCGGTGCATGGAGCCTGCTTCTCCCTCTGCCTGTGTCTCTGCCTCTCTCTCTCTCTCACTATCATAAATAAATAAAAATTAAAAAAAGAAATTTAAAAAAAAAAAAAAAAAAAAAAAAAAGAAGTCAGTGTTAGAGGGATCCCTGGGTGGCGCAGCGGTTTAGCGCCTGCCTTTGGCTCAGGGCGCGATCCTGGAGACGCCGGATCGAATCCCACGTCAGGCTCCTGGTGCATGGAGCCTGCTTCTCCCTCTGCCTATGTCTCTGCCTCTCTCTCTGTGTGTGCCTATCATAAATTAAATAAAATAAAAATTATAAAAAAAAAAGAAGTCAGTGTTAGATAAAAACATTCATGTTTGAAAAAAACACCACACACACACACAAATCCTCATACCTGGCGACAACTGACACATTTTGATTAGTCTTTTTTTTTGTTGCTTTTCTTTAAAAAAAAATATTTTATTTATTTGAAAGAGAGAAAGGAGAGCACACAAGCCAGGGGGAGGGGCAGAGGGAGAAAGAGAAGCTGAGTAGGGAACCTGTTGTGGGCACAATCTCTGGACCCCGAGATCATGACTTGTGCCAAAGGCAGATGCTTAACCAACTGGCCACCCAGCACCTCTTGATTAGTCTTGAGAAGCCTTGCCACTCGGCTCTGCAGCTTGCCCATCACCTTCTCTCTCCCTGTTTGGCTGTAGGCAGAGACCATGGATTACAAATTGTCCTCTCTGCTTGGCCCCATAAATCTGCTCCAAGGAATTCTCACCTCTTCGGATGGCCCTGTTCTCCCACCTTTCCCATCAAGCCCAGGTCTGACATTAACCCTGTAATCTTGCTGAATTCACTGATAATACTTCAGTGGAAAGTTATACTTATGCAGATAAGGATCCTCTCAACATTTAAGCCTCTTATTTCTGGCTGTGAATGAAAGGTTTCCCCGCTTCATTAGAAGAATTTCTGGGAACACCTGGGTGGCTCAGTGGTTGAGCATCCGCCTTCAGCTCAGGGTGTGATCCCAGGGTCCAGGAATGGAGTCTTGCATCAGGCTCCCTGTGGGGAGCCTGCTTCTCCCTCTGTCTGTGTCTCTGCCTCTGTCTGTGTCTCTCATGAATAAATAAATAAAATTAAAAAAAAGAAGAAGAAGAATTTCTGAACTGAGCAAAGAGGCAGGAGTTCTGGAGTCCCTGAAATCCTACCAGATGAGCTTCTGTACAGGTATACCTGAATCCATGCTCTAAGGAAGAAGGGCAGGAGAATTGGGGGGGCAATGACCTGTTTCGGTCCTCCTCCAGTCTGTTTCCATGCCCCTGGCACTGAAGGTCTCCGCCAGCCCCCTTTGTGGAAGAGCATGGGTCTCATTCACCATCACTCACTGCTCTAAGCCACAGGACTGTGAGTGCCTTGATGCTAAGAATTCTTTCATCTTTTGGCCATCAAGTTGCTACCACAGTACCTGGTGCACAACAGGACTTTAATCCACATTTGCTAAGTGCATCAACGAGTGAGTACACCCTCCGTAGTCCCCCTCTTCCCTAAGCCTCTTAAATTCATATTCTTATGTCCATGAACTCCCAGAATCATTCTGTTGGCATTCAATCATCTCCTATTTCTACTCCCTGGTATCAGATATCCTGGAGTAAATCCCTATGCCTTCAAGGTTATTTGTAGTTTTGATGTTGAAGCATCTGAAGGACTGCATAGTCAGGTGGCTGGGAAGGAGGTGGGTGTTGGATGGTGTGAGAATCTTTTCTGGACCAAAAAAAAAAATATATATATATATATATATATCAGTGAATACAAAGCCCAGAACTAAGAGAAGAGAATACTTCTGGAACCAGTGGCTTCATCTGCTGGCAAATGGCCACCAAATGGGGATGTAGGTGAATGCCAAAAAGAGTTTAGAGGACCCAACCTTAAAGACTCTAGGAAGATGTTGAAGCATTTTAAGCAGAATGAAAGACCTGCAGATGAATAGCATTTAGAGTGCTTACCATATCCTGGGCACCAAGCTCAGCCTTGACTACTTTCTTTCACCAAATCCCCACAAGTACTCTGTGAGATAGAAATCAACCTCATTTTATAGAGGAGATGACATTGGCAGCAAAGGGGAGAATGGACAGACAAGGGGAAAGCCAGTTAGGTAGCTAATTGACGTGGGGAGTAAGGAAGACCGAAGGTAGGTGGAGAGTCTGTTTTCTTCTTTTTCAAGCTTTAGCTGCAGTGGAAGAGGAACTGGAAAGGCAATAGGGTCAAGGGGAGCTTGTTGGTTGTTGTCTCTAAGATGCATGAGGTCCGTACTTCTTTTTATGCTCAAAGTACTGGTAGGGAGGGAGAGGCTGCTGATAAGCCCAGGAGGGAGGCTAATAGTAGAGGCTGGTAGTCCCTGGGGAAGTGGACCCTGAGATCCAGGCATAAATAGCATGAACCTCAAGATGGGAGCAAAGGCATGTCTTCTGCTGCAATTAGAAGCAGAGAGAAGAGAGGTGAAGGAAGGCTGAACAATGTGGGACTGTGGCCCACCTGCTGCTTGCTCAACCAATGAGCCATGTGCACCCTTCTTGGATACAAGTTGCCAATATGTTCAGGGTTCACCATCTGCCATGGGGTCCCTTGCTAAGAGGAGGCCAGCCCCAAAGGACGATATTTGATTGGCCTGATCCAATTATGATCTTCCAATTCCTTTGGCTCAGGACTGGTTTAGGGTGGGTATGTGACCCAATTTTGACCAATGAGATATGAGGGAAGGCTGCTGGAGGGCTGCTGGGAAAATATTTTCCCACTCTTAAGAAGAGGAGATACTAGGAAGCAAGAGCCTCTTCCTTCTTTGGGAAGGAAGAGAGGGTGAGACACCTGGAGCTAGGGCAGCCATTCTGCCACCAGCTGAAGTCTGAAGATCACAGATGAGGGTAGAGTGGGGAGAATCATGGAGAAATGGGCTCCTGGTACACAATGCCTGGAGCCATACAGAGGTTGCAACTAGAATAATCCTAATATGCAAGACATTAATTGATGGATTTTCCCCATATATGAAAATTCTAAATTTCTTGGTTCAAAGGATGTCTATCTAGGCATGAGGAAGAAAAAAGTGTGAAAATGATATAGGCCAGCAGGAGTAGGTTTCTCTATTCTTCTGCCAGAAGTCAAGACAAAGCATGCTGGGAGGACACAGTTGGGAAAGAGTTTGGGGAATGAATGGTTGGTTGAAGGGTTCCCAAATTATCACAGGAAAGTAGAGTTCCTCAGCTGGGAGCAGAAAGGGCAGAGAGTGCCCATTGTAAACCTGATTCTATTGTGTTGCACTGTGAGCATCAGAGAGTTTCCTTTGGGCCCAATTATCAGCTTAAAATTTGAGAAACCCTAAAGGAAAAATCCAAAGTTCAGTTTTACAAAGCACAGAAAATAGAATTCTGAGAAGTCCCTGATTACCAGCTTTCAGAACTGGATGTGCTGGGTAAGTGTCTGATTGGGGTGATGATGACAGTTCTCTGTGTCCTGCACCTTGACTCAGTGTCAGAAACAGTCCCCAGGTCTAAACTGCTTGAGTAGAGAGTGGGCTAATCCAACTGTATGAAGAGGTTTGAAAGCAAAATTCTCAACCGCTGCTGCAGGAAAGTCTCAGAAGTCAACTAGAAGAATGATCTAGGTCCACACTGTCCAGTACAGTACCAACTAGTTACAGGTGGTTTCTGGACACTTGAAATATGGCCATTCTGAACTGACATGTGCTATAAATGTAGACTACACACCAGACTTCAAAGACTTAGAAGATAAACATAAAAGATCAACAATAATTTTTATATCATTTGTATATTGAAATGACAGTTTTTTTGATATATTGGGTTAAATAAAATATATGTTCAAATAAATTCCACCTGTTTCCTCTTTTTTGATGTGGCTGCTACACGCTTTAAAATAACATTTGCGGGGACGTCTGGGTGGCTCTGCCTATGTCTCTGCTTCTCTCTCTCTGTGTCTCTCATGAATAAATAAATAAAATCTTTAAAAAAAACCACACATTTGTAGCTTGAATTGGATGGCATCGAGCTAGCCTGTCGGCCCCTAAGAAGCCATTGAGTGGAGTGAGAAGACCCCATCCATGCAGGCTATGGGTGGACCTTCCGTCAGGCCTCCCGTCAGAAGTTCACGGGCACATCTAGACTGTCTATTGTGCCCCCAGTGGAGCCAACAGTGGCATCATCTCTGCTGAGTACGTGAGTTGCCAAGATATTGGTGGGCATGCAGCCATAGTGCAGAGAAGCTGGGACGTGTTCCCTTACCCAGTGGCCCTGAGGCCAAATGAGGATTGAGGGCATGGTGGCTGGGGTAGGCACATGGAAGACAGAGCTGCCTTGGTCCAGCAATGGGGCTTTCCCCAGGCAGGCAGCGAGATGACAAAGGGCCAGGTGAGTTAGTATCGACAAAACAGTTCAAGGCCAGTTAGGAAAAGAAGTAAAATTGGAAGTAAGGGGGTGAGGACTGAGAGATAAGGAGGACATTAAGGGTCTCAGGGCTGAGTTCTTTAGGAGACTGAAAAGAAATTGATTTTGTGCAATTCATTCCTTTCTCATTTATCGTTCATTTCAAATAGGGAAAACAGACACAGCTTCTCTCCTCAACCTCACAGGATTTTGGTGATGATCATGTCTATATTTTTCTTTCTTTCTTTCTTTCTTTCTTTCTTTCTTTCTTTCTTTCTTTCTTTCTTTCTTTCTTTTTCTTTCTTTCTTTCTTTCTTCTCTTCTCTTTCTTCTTTCTTTCTTCCCTTCCCTTCTTTCTTTCTTTTTTCTTTCTTTCTTTCTTTCTTTCTTTCTTTCTTTCTTTCTTTCTTCTTTCTTCCCTTCCCTTTTCTCTTTCTTTCTTCCCTTCCTCTTTCTTTCTTTCTTTCTTTCTTCTCTTTCTTTCTTTCTTTCTTTCTTTCTTTCTTTCTCTTTCTTCCCTTCCTTTTCTCTTTCTTTCTTCCCTTCCTCTTTCTTTCTTTCTTTCTTTCTTTCTTTCTTTCTCTTTCTTCCTTCCCTTTTTCTTTCTTTCTCTTTCTTTCTTTCTTTCTTTCTTCTTCTTTCTTTCTTTCTTTCTTCTCCTCTTTTCTTTCTTTCTTTCTTTCTTTCTTTCTTTCTTTCTTTCTTTCTTTCTTCTCTTTCTTTCTTTCTTTCTTTTTCTTTCTTTCTTTCCTTCCTTCTCTTCCTTCCTTCCTTCCTTCCTTCCTTCCTTCCTTCCTTCTCTCTTCTCTCTCTTTCTATCATCTATCTATCTATCTATCTATCTATCTATCTATCTATCTATCATCTATCTCTACACCCAACATGAGGCTTGAACTCATGAGACCAAGAGTTGCATGCTCAGCTAGGCACCCCATGTCTATTCTTGAAAAAGCTCCTTTAAAAAAAATTTTTTTTTTCTGTCAAGCCACTCACTTCTGTACCACTTACCGACTTGTCCCGGGAAATCTTCTTGAAGATCACATGGTTTGATGCAGACTTGCTGGTCTTCCCGCTGGCTGCCATGTTACGTGTCCCTCGTAGCTTCTTTCAACTCTGGGGTCTGTGTCAGCTGTTAGCGAGCTGGGGAAAGGTAAAAACGATGCTGAATGTGCAGGCAAGAATGTTCTTTGCATAAAACCTACTCGTGAGATGCTGTGTGCCCATTAGACATTTCCTTGCATCTGCTTGAATATCGATGTTTGATGAAATAAGGCCATGGTCTAGTTTTTTTTTTTTTCATGGTCTAGTTTGTATGACACCGGGGTGGGTTTTTTTTAGAACATGTGTTTTCTTTTTCTTGATAAGGCTCAAATACTTCTTAGTAAACCTCACCTGGAAGGTTTTACCCCCTGACTGGCCTTTGGCTTCATCACACTGAGCCAGGTTAGATTTAAAATTCTATCATGATGAGACGCCTGGGTGGCTCAGCGGTTGAGTGTCTGCCTTCAGCTCAGGGCATGATCTTGGGGTCCGGAATCGAGTCCCACATTGGGCTCCTTGCAGGGAGCCTGCTTTTCCGCCTATGTCTCTCCCTGTCTCTGTCTCTCTTTGTGTGTCTCTTATGAATAAATAAAATCTTAAAAGTAAATAAATAAAATTCTATCATGACAATGTCCTACAGTAATTGGAATAGAAAAGGTTTCTGAAAACCATAACATAACTGCTTTGCAAATATCATTTTCAAAATACGTTAAATCCCTAGAAGTTCTGTCCAGTGGCCCATACTCAGCTGTGCCTTCCTGTCCTGCTCTCCCACTGCTCCCCAGCATCACACACAGTGGGAGGGCTGTCTTGGGTGTCTGGATCTCAGCACACCCTGAGTCTTGCTAACAAGCAAGGTCCATGAAACCACACAGAAAAGGCAAAACTGGGACAGACCACAGTAAAACACCCGTCATCCTGGCCCAGGTTCTGAAAAGCTTTGTGCTCAGGGAAGGTCATGTACCTTGTGCAGCCAGCCAGACAGGCCCAGGAGGTGAGGCGAGGGGCTCCGTCCCTCCGGGGTGAGCGGCCGGCCCCTGCTCTGTGTGCCCAGATGACCCCACCGAGGGCACTGGCTGGCGTGTGTGTGTGTGGGGGAATTTGTAGGGGACCTGGACAGGGTGCGACACCCACGTCTCAATGTCTAGAAGCCAAATCCCATTTAAGGAGCAGAGTGGAAATGGGATTAGTGTTGAGACGGGGGAACTGGTGGTTTCAGCAGTTCTAGGCATTAGGCAAAGGCCTCTGGTCTCCTTCTAGAGGGGCTCCCAGATGCGGGAGCTCCAGTGGGGACGACGTGGCGGGACGGACGAGGGCTAAAGAAAAGCTGCTGTTTATCCTAACCCTCTTTGGGTTCTGGAAATAGACTGATTATCCCTTGGCTCCCAGTATCACCAGGACAGGGGATTTTCAAGTGCTCAACAAACTTGATTAAACTCAGCAGGCAGCTAATGCAACCTTGGGGGTGGGGCTGGAAACAAAAAGGTCAAGGAGAAATGCCAACCTCAAGAACCCTGGTGTTATACAAGCCCAACTGAGGTGGGAAGCAAAGGCAGAAGGAAATGTAGATAAAATTAACTGTCCTTGTGACCTGCATCCCATTGACAAATACTCGAGGCAGGCAGAGTCTATAATGTTCCTCCAGGATGCTCCTGTCTTAATGTTACTGCCTTGCTAGAGAGAAAAGCTACCTTAGCTTGACAGCAGCCAGGCCTCCAGGATCCTGGGAGTCTTCTTCAGCATAGGAGAATCCTTTGTCTTTACTTCCCCCAACCCCAAAAGTACATAATCAGTTGTTCCTCACAATCCTGGGGCAACAGCTCTTTCTGCCCACAGGTCCTGTCCCCGTGCTTTAGCAAAACCACTTTTTTTGCACCAAAAGAATGTCTCAGTTCTTTCTTGACCGTGGGCTCTGGACCCCAACAACACTACTCCACAATCACATCACAACTAGATGGGGTCCTCTCCTCCACCCCACGCCCCGTTGATTGTGGTGACCGGTCTCTCGCCTCCCCAGTGTCCACATCTTCTCATCCACAGAGCTTCCTCCTGGGTCCAAAGCACCCCCTTTGCTTTCCTGGACCATAATGCCTCCTGCAGTCTATCCACCTCCAGCCTCCAGGCCCTTCTCCACAGGGGAAGAGGGGCCTTCCAAGTCCTGATCTGTCCTCTCCGCTTAGTGTCTCCCACTGCTCTCAGGAAGGACACGGGCATCTGCTTTCACATTGTCCTCCATTATATCCCACCCCCAGCTCCCCACACTGTTCTTTTAGCCTAGAACAATCCTCTTCTCTCCTCAATGTGCTTTTTTCAGGCTCCAGATGCTGGAAGACAGGAGTCCCATTCTCAGGGGGAACCTTCCCCAACCTCCTGGGCTGGGGTGGGGGCACAGTTGCATTTGACACTTGTGTGGGAGGTTATCATGGTCTCTCTTTCCTTACTTGACTCCATGACTCCAGGTCCCAGGAGGGCAGAGGCCCATCCCGTTGTTTCTGTCACCATTGCATTTAACAGCTGCTTCCAAGAACCTCAGAAAAAAAACGGATGGGACACTGTGTCCATTAACACATCTACATATTGGACTTGACATGATGTCTGGGAATGTGGCAAGTCTAAGCAAAAAGCTTATTCTGGGGATCCCTGGGTGGCTCAGCGGTTTAGTGCCTGCCTTTGGCCCGGGCGTGATCCTGGAGTCCCGGATCGAGTCCTGCATCGGGCTCCCAGCATGGAGCCTGCTTCTCCCTCTGCCTATGTCTCTGCCTCTCTCTCTCTATGTCTATCATGAATAAATAAATAAAAATCTAAAAAGAAAAAAAAAAGAAAAAAAAAAAAAGCTTGTTCTAACATTTGAGATGTTAGCATCCGTGGAAACATTCCAGTAACTTCCTCCCTGCCTGACAATGTCTTCAAGGCACTCCAAGATTTGCTCCCATTACCTCTGACCTCCTTTCTTTTTCGTCTTTCTTCCTTCTTTGCTTCCTTTCTTTTTCTTCTTTCTCTTTCTCTTTCTTTTCTTTTCTTTTCTTTCTTCTTTCTTTCTTTCTTTTCTTTTCTTTCTTTTTTTTAAAGTAGGCTTCATGCCCAGCATGGGGCTTAATGCAGGGCTTGAACCCATGTCCCTGAGATCAAGACCTGAGCTGAAATCAAGAGTCAGACACTTATTGGGCTCCCGGTGCATGGAGCCTGCTTCTCCCTCTGCCTGTGTTTCTGCCTCTCCTCTCTCTCTCCTCTCTCCTCTCTGTGACTATCATAAATAAATAAAAATTAAAAAAAATAAAAATAAAAATAAAATAAAATAAAATAAATAAAGAGTCAGACACTTAACTGACTAAGCCACCCAGGCATGCCCAACCTCAGTTCTCACTACCTCACCCACTTTGCTCCAGCCCACTGGTCTCTTTGCTTTTCTTCAAACCTGCCTCAACTCCTTTGCACTGAACTGTTTCCCCTTCTGGAACACTGTTCCCACAGAGAGTCACTTGGTTTGCTTAATTCCTTTGGGTCTTTAATTCAATGGGATCCCATTCACCTCGCAACCTATTGTGCACCGTGCACCACTTCACCCAAAACTTCTGGCCTCCTCTGCATTATTTTTCTCCATAGCACTTGTCACCACCGTCTCGCATTCAGAAGAACCTGCATTATCTCCTTTCCTGTCTGTCCCCCGTCCCAACTTTACTAGCATGAAAGATCCAGGCAAAGTGATTCCTGACTCTTTGTACCTATCCCATCTCCAGCATCTAGAAGAGGGGTCTCACTATACTTAAAGCACATGGAGGAGTCACTGGGATAGCTGGCAACAGCTAAAATTGAGAAAAAAATTTTGTAATTTCTAAGGGAGAAATTTTTTTTTAAAATGGAGGAATGCCAGCTGCTAAATGCAAAAGGAAAGACGAAGTAGAAAAACATCATTTAACAAACTCTGCATTAATGACTTTTGATTTTCTGTATTTCAAGTGTATTTAAGCAATCTCTACATCCAGCATGGGGCTCAAACTCACAACCCCAAGATTAAGAGTCACATGGTCTTCCAACTGAGCCAACGACGGCCCCTAATGGTATTTCTAATGCTTTGACATCTGGGGTTCAGCTGACCTTGGAGAGACATCCCTTCCCAGGGCTAACCCTTTCCTAGAGACAGCAAACGACTGCCTTTCTTTTTTTTTTTTTTTTAACGACTGCCTTTCATATGCAAACTAGCCAATTGGAGCCCTGACACTTCAATGGCCTGGGTTCCTCCTGGGACAGGCTTACACTGAGCCATGACTGCCCTGACTTAATATTACATCCCCAGACCAGGATTCAGACCACCTGAGACAGCCTGTCACCACAGAGCCAGATGAAGTTATTCAAACTCTTCAATCTTAAACCTGCTTATCTGGCCTCACCAGTTCTTTCCCATGGAAACCACAAGAAGACTCTTGCCCATGTTTTCCCCTTGATCCCTCTGCTTCCTGACCAAGCCTGGTACTTCTCCATGTGGCCCTGTGTAGCATGGGCCGCTCCCTCCTTTCCAGAACTATGAGTAACCAATTATCTTTTCAGGGGCCATTGTCTCTTGATCTGTTGGTCTTATCATAGCTGAATGACAGCAAAAGTTCTGTCTTAAAATACTGATCATTTGACTGACTCAAAGATTGTTCATTGGGGTCAAGACCATCAGATGAAGAGCTGATGGAGAAATGGCTGTCCCTATAGTACCATAACAATGGCAAATGGATCCTGGGTTTATCACAAGGTGCATGTCTGGCTGCACAAATCGGGGACCAGGCATGGTCCATGGTCAACCTTAGAATCGACAGTGGTGCCAACCAGATGTGATGTATCACGGTGGATGAACTGGAATCCATTAAGCATTTTGACATCACTTCTAGCTTATGGGAAATGCAGGGGATTGAGGAACAAGTGAGATGACACAAGAGAGCTACAAGGTGAATGGAAAAGTGGCTGGTGGGATCCCTGGGTGGCGCAGCGGTTTGGCGCCTGCCTTTGACCCAGGGCACGATCCTGGAGACCCGGGATCGAATCCCACGTCGGGCTCC